CTGTGAGGCAGCAGGACGTTCATCCCAGCGTCCTCTGCGTGCCCAGCGTGCCCGTCATTGCCACGTGCTATACCACATTTTGAGGCTCCTCAAAACTATCACATTCCTGGGGCTGAAATTCGTCCTGATGCCCCATGCCGCATGCCTCACCTCTTCCCATTATTCACTTTCATGCCGTCGTACGTGTTGACGCACGCGCCGCCTCTCACAAGCACGCCCGACGTGCAGTAATCCAGATAGTAGCAGTGATCCCCGTTAAACACATAGTTGCAGAGCGCGGAGTTCCCAGGGTTGAACCAGTGAGTGCAGTAGTAGATGCCCGCGGAATCATAATCCCCGTTGAGGTTTCGCCCCGAGGAAATCACAAGGTTGGAGTTGATGCGCGTCAGCATGCAGTCGCCGCTGTAGTGCACGTCGGCGCCGCAGCGAATGCCCGCGAATATGTAGTCATGCACATAGTTGTTGGCCACGGTTACGCCGACTGCCCCCCTGTGCAGGACAATGGGGGTGTTGACTCCTGTGAGCCGGGTGGGGAGGGGGGGAGGAACGGGGGATCAAAGGGGCGGGGTGGAAAGGAGGGGGGGATTGGAGAGAAGGATGTGAAGAGGAGGAGACGACCAGGTAGGAGTTGATGCGCGTCAGCCTGCAGTCGCCGCTGTGGTGCACGTCGGCGCCGCAGCCGATGCCTGGCGAATATGTAGTCATGCACGTAGTTGTTGGCAACGGTTATGCCTACGGCTCCCCTGTGCAGGACAATGGGGGTGTTCGTGCCTGGAGGAGAGAAGGAAAAGGGAGAAAGGAAGAGGGTGGGGTGGGGGATAGAGTCAGCATGCAGTTGCCATGGTAACACCGCTGTAACATTACGCCACCGTAATGGAGCTGTAACACCACCGTAACGTTGCCGTGAAGCCATTGTAACGCTTCTGCAACGCCGCTGTGAGGCTGTTGTAACAAAGGTTGCTTTTGGCAACTCCTCGTCGTTAGAGATGGCAACTCCTCGTCGTAGCGTAGGAGGCCACAGCGTAGGAGGGCTTAAAGTCAGGTGAGGGCCCTCCTACAAAGGAGGCCACAGCGTAGGAGGGCGGGGAATCATTCTTGGCCGTAGCCTGTTTTTTAGAATTCTCAAAAACACCCTGCCGAGTCCGGTGAGGGACCGCTCGCCATACAGGCGTTGTTAGATTAGGGAATCCCGGAGCGCAGGAGGGCGGGGAATGATCATTCTTGATGAGATAAATGGCAGGAGAGGATCTTTTTACATCAGAAATGGCTTCGCTGTCGTTTTGAGTGGACTCAAAACACACCTGGCTTTGCTGTCAGGTGGGGGTCCAATCGCTGAACACCTCGTTGTTGGAGTTGCAAGGCCCGGAGGAGCGAAGGAGGGCGGGGCCTTACCCAGAGAGAGAGCCAACCAGAAAGCCACTCCAGAAACGTTGACTCTTGCTATTATATCAGAACTCGCCCACTGTAGGTCTCCTTGTAAGAAGGAAAAACTCACCATACACCTCATTGTTGGAAATGACGATGTTGGATCGCAGGAGGGTGGGGCCGTAGCCAGAGAGCGCCACACGGATCACCCCAGGGGACTTGTCAAAAGAAGCCACTCCGGTGACCTTGAGGGAGTCTAGCCGCACGCCCATGCTCCTCAGCACGTCCACTCTGCCGAAGATTGATCCCTGCGAGTCACGTAGACGAGGAGAGGGAAGGAAAGGACATGTGAGAAAGAGCCACTCGGATCTCACCAGGCGACTTGTCGACAGAAGCCACTCCGGTGACCTTGAGGGAATTCAGCTGCACGCGCATGGTCCTTCACACGTCGACTCCACCGAAGATGCTGCCCTGTGAGTCACACCATGTAAGAGGAGAGGGGAGGAAGGAAGGGAGGAGAGAGGGTTGGAGAAAGGGAGGAGAGAAGGGAGGAGAGGGAGTGGTGTGGCCTTGAGGGAACCCAGCCGCACGCCCATGCTCCTCAGCACGTCGACTCGACCGAAGATGCTGCCCTGTGGGGAGAGCACAAGGGATATAGGGGAGATAGGGGAGGAAGGAGAAAGGAAGCACACAGGAGAGAGTGACCTTGAGGGAATCCGGCTGCACGCTCCTGCTTGTAAACACGTCGATTTGGGCAAGTATGAAGCCCTGGTGTTTTTTTTTTTCACCTGCCCTGAGTCACTAACGAGGGATACCAAGGAAAGTTTCATGATTTTTTCTCTCTTTTTTTTCCACAAAAGAAGAAAAAAAGAGGACAAAATATCGTACCTTCCAATCTGCACGCCATACGACAAGTAGAAAGAAATTGCCGGGCACATGACTTTCTTCCCCAGCTCAGGCGCGCTGGTGCATGGCATGAGACTTGCAAGGGTTGACTCACCTTTCCAATCTGCACTCCGTACGACTTGTAGATTGAAATCGCAGGGCACGTGACCCCTGCGCCGAGCTCGGGCACGTTGGTGCATTCGGGGCTGCTCTCCGACACGGGCAGCTTGTAGTTCACGTTCATCGACACGAAGTTATTCACGTTCCACACGCGGATCACCGGGTACATAGGGTTACCACCCGTGATCGTGTAACCGGGCCAACTTGCTGACATCAGGATCGTGCACGAGTGCACCCGCCGAAACCACGCCCCCTTCGGAAGAGTCAGGTCGTTTCTCAGATACAGAATGACGGTGGTGGTCGGGGGGAGGGAGGTCCGGGCGCCGATGTCAGCGGCCGAGGTGACATTAATTATGAAGACTTTTTTCAGGGAGGTGCAGGGGCCCTTGGGCCGTTTGGCGGCGGCCTGGACCCCAGCGGCTGCAGCGGCTCGTTGCAGGGAGACCGGCCCGATGATGACTGTTCTCCTCCTCCTGCCTTGCGCCCCCTCTGCTGCTCCGGCTGTAGCAGCGGTTTCGGTAGCAGCAGTTGTAGCAAAGACAGCAGGAGGTTTGAGAGGGATATCCAGGAGAGCAGGTCTGCCTGACGCAGCAGCGGCAGCCACAGCAGCGAAGAGCGGCGGAGGCTGGCTGTCCTCCTCTTGCCGCTGCCGCTGCAGGGAGGAGACTTGCCGATACAGGTCGCGGTCGTTATCGTAACCGTCGCCGTGACTGTACAGGTTGTGATTGTAACCATCGCCATTGCTAAACGGATTGTGACCGTATTGAGAGGGGAGTTGACTAAAAGGGTGGCTTTGCAGGCCGCTGGTGTGGTGATGATGGCCCACGCCTGACGGGTGATGCCCCATTGAGGCGGGGTGGTGCCCTGTGACTGTAACGGGGGAAGGGGGGAGGGGGGGGGGGAAGGGGGGAAGGGGGGGGGGAGGGGGGAGAGAGGAACACAGAGGGGAAAGGGCGGAGAGGAGAAAGAAGATCATGCATCATTCAACCAGAAACCAGCATAAAATATATGGTTAGGGATTCTGAGCCAAAGGTTGGTGGCGCCGGCTGGTGTGGTGATGGTGACCCTCGCCTTGACGCGTGGTGCCCAATTGACGCTGGGTGGTGGGTGGCTTGTGACTGTAACGGGGGGGATAATGAGCCACTTGGGGAGAAAACAACGGAGGGGTGTTTTACAACCGGTGTTTTACAACAGGCGAGGAGTGGAAAGCAGGCAATTCTTCCTACTCGGAGGGTTAACAGATGCAGATAGCTTTTGAGTCGACTCAAAAGTCATCTCTACAGATAGCCGGGGCGTGACGGAGAGGGGGGAAATCATTCTTCCTACGACAAGGCGATGTCTCAGAAGCCTCAAGTGCTGAATAGTGCAACCGCGCTGCTCGTTCTGCTCTCATTCCGGAAAGCGTCACGAGTTTGGAACCTTAAGCCCTAAAGTTCCGAGACGTCTCAAAACTAACCTACGTATTCTCGGAAGAATCACAAGTTTGGAACCTCAAGCCCTGGAACCTCAAGTGGGGAGCCCTGGAACCTCAAGTGGGGAGCCCTGGAACCTCTAGTGGGGAGCCCTGGAACCTCTAGTGGGGAGCCATGGAACCAGGGGCGGAGAGGGAGGGAGGGGAGCCAAGTGCTACTTCCCGACCAAATCGCCGAGTGCTGCTACCCGAGTGCTGATAGAGGGAGAGACTCAACTCGCGCCATTAATTGCGTACCTCACCATGCCTTATAACGGGTTCCGCACCATGCCTTATAGCGGGTTCCTCACCATGCCATATAACGGGTAACTCACCATGCCTTGTAGCGCGTACCTCACCATGCCTTATAACGCGTACCTGGCCATGCCTTGTAACGCGTACCTGACCATGCCGTCACAGGGGTGCTCGACGTCAGGCCGGTTATCACGGCGAGAATACCGCAGATCGTCAAGGTACTAGCGATCGTCATTCTCTTGCGAGTCGCAGTGCGACAGAATCCCACGAATCGTCGCCGTGGTGCCGCCGCCGCCATCGCGATTATCCGACGACTCCAATGTCGCTTCCCTCCCCGCTGCTAAGGAGCGTGTTTTGCGACGTCCTAAAAGTAGGAATCTTGGGCTCAGCAGCCACAGTTACCGAAACTTTAAGTGGATAGATGCTGGCGGGGTGCGCGTGACGGCTGACGGGCGGGCTTGTATTACGACGAGCGGGGTTTCAGACTGTTTCCTGGCAGACGGCTCGTCTTCGACGCTATGTACGCAAATTTACAACGACGGCATCGTTACTTGCGTTGCGCCACACAAGCGAGGCTGCTGTTGCTGGCAGTAGTTCTATGGCGATTGCTGCTACTATACTAGCGGGTGGTGTGACACTGGCTCTTGCTTTTGATCGTGGCTGCGGTTGGTTGTGTTGCGTTGCGATGTGATGCGAGTAAGCAAATTCGGGCGGTGACGGGGAGGTAAAGGTTTCGCGACGGCTACTCGCGACTGCGAGCAGGATATTATTTCGCAATGGTGTCTCGCGGAAGCGGACAAAATGGGGAACAGGAAGGCATCAACGAGGAAGCTGGCGCCAGGGTTGGGTTAGGGGGGAGGTAATCGCGAATCGCGATCCGAATCAGCACAAATGGCGTCGGGCCGCGGTAACCAGGTGATGCACGCCGTCAGAGCTGAGATGTGCGCCTTGGCTGGGTTCGCCCGTCAGGGGACGGCTTTACGTGGGCCGCCCGCAGTCGGCGGTCAGCGGCGGGAGTCGCACATGTTGAGATTTACCTGACCGAGCACACGACCGAACCATGTTGACCCCACCAACTTCGCCAGCGTGGCAGGCAGCCGAGGTCCTTTCCAGCCGACAGAAATGGAACTGGCCTGGGATCTTGGCTGGGTGAGTATATCGGGGATGCGACTTTTCTTACGGCCACCGACATCTTAGGGCGAAACATGAACTCATATTACAATATAGCAATGTCTTCTAAATGTATTCTGTGGAATACAATGAATTAGCGTATGGTACTAGCATGATGCCTTAGTCAACGAATAAGCAATGCGCTTCACATGTGAGAAAATGACCAGAATTCTATAATATGAGTACTGACAACAAAAAGGCTAAGAAAAGTAGGGGAATCAAACTAATTCGTTTGCCAACGCCTCCAACCTTTGCCAACGCGGTGATCAAGTCTCTATCAAAGATATGCTTCATGTCCATCATAACCACCTTGCGAAAACCGCCCGGCATCGGGGTGTTATAACGGTCGAAGAAATATTTTGCTGAGAACCTTCTTGGCCCAACGAGCCCCAGCGGGCAGCTCAAATAATCCGGCCGGTATTTATAAATCAGTGAGTCATTATTCAGCCCCAGATCATTTCCCTGGTAATTCAGGAAACCGGCTGAGAGAGGGTCCCTCAAGGTGAGGTTGGTTTGATGATTCAACTCCGCCGTAATGGGGAAATTCTCACAATGCTTGTTATCGAGGCCGTATTCGGTGGTGTTAACAGCGATGACGTCGATAATGTTGTCGGTTCCCAGGCCGCTGCACGCCCCGGTGATGTCAGCACCTGGACCATTGGGCGGGTTGCATGGCACGCCACCATTGGCCGACGTCTCCTTGCACACGTTCTGCATCCATGGCCACAGCTGGATGTGACAAAAACGAGGGGGAAGGAAGGAGGTGGGATGGGGTGGTGAGGAGGGTGGGGGAGAGCAGAGGAAAGCGAGATGAGGCATTTCAAGAAGTATATGAGGGATGAGGAGGAGGAGCACAAGCAGCAAATAAAACCGGAATGTGTCAAAGCAACTGGAATGTGCTGTTGAAGTATTCAACTGAATGTGTTTTTGTGCCCTGGTAAAGTGTACACTTACCTTGTTAATCCTATCTGAGTTGTAGTATTTCACTCTCATGGCTTCCCAGTAGTTTCCCGGGTCTTTCAGGCAGTTGTTGACCGTGACTGTAAAGCAGGACGTCCAGCCCAGCGACCCCACAGTGCCCTTCATCGCCACATCCTTGATTATATTCCTGATAGGGAGGAGGGAGCGGGAAGGGAGAGGGCAGAAAGAGGAGGTCAGGAGGATCCTTCAAGCAGTTGTTGACCGTGACTGTAAAGCAGGACGTCCAGCGACCCACAGTGCCTTCATCGCACTCTGATATTCCTGATAGGGAGGAGGGAGCGGGAAGGGAGAGGGCAGAAAGAGGAGGTCAGGAGGATCCTTCAAGCAGTTGTTGACCGTGACTGTAAAGCAGGACGTCCAGCCCAGCGACCCCACAGTGCCCTTCATCACCACATCCTGGATTATGTTCCTGTAGTGAACCACGCAATGAGGGGGACAAGAGCAATAGAGAACCAGTTGTTGACCGTGACTGTGAGCTTGTGAAGCACGAGGTCTGTCCAAGCCACTCCTGCGTGCCCTTCATTGCAACGTCCTTGACCACGTTCCCAAGTGAAGGCCACAGTAACGGAGGTAAACGAGATGAAACGGGAAAGGCAGACACGTAGCGCACCCCAAAGGTCCCTGCATGCTCGCTATGGTCACATGCCGTATCACATTCCTGGAGTGAGGGAGCAATACGAAAGCGTGGGGGGATTGACGGGGTGTAAGGGGGGGGAGAGGGGAGAAGGCGATGCTCATGCGGTCTTGGAACCTCCAATCGAATGGTACGCACGGAATGATTTGGAGGGGTGCTCGCGGATAAGAAGAGAGTAATGAAAGGGACAAAAACGAGACAACACACGCACTGACCCTTACATTTTGCAGGGTGTTTTTGAGAATTCTCAAAAACACCCTGCAAAATCAATGATTTGGAGGGGTGCTCGCAGATAAGAAGAGAGTAATGAAAGGGACGAAAACGAGACAACACACGCATTGACCCTTACAACCATACCTCACCCCATCCCCCACCCCCCCACCCTTCCCACCCCAATTTCCCCACCCCCTCCTCCCATCCCCCACCCACCATCCCCCATCCCTCATCCCTCATCCCCCTTCCCCCTTCCTCCACTCCCCATCCCCATGGTCCCTCGTCTATTCCTATCGTCGTTTGTTTCTCTCAGATTTCCGTTGTTCACTTTCATGCCGTCGTACGTGTTGATGCACGCGCCGCCCCTCACAAGCTGTCACAGGCGTAAGTACTGCCATAGCTGATTGATCTCACTTGTTCCTCACCAATCCCCGTCCCATACCCTCTCACCATTTTCCGTTGTTAACTTTCATGCCGTCGTACGTGTTGACGCACGCGCCGCCCCTCACAAGCACGCCGGACGCGCAGTAATCGATATAATAGCAGTGATCCCCGTTATATATATAATTGCAGAGCGCGGAGTTCCCGGGGCTAAACCAGTGTGAGCAGAAATAGATCCCCGCCGCGTCGTGATCGCCGTTCATATTGCGCCCCGTGGCGACTATCAGGTTGGAGTTGACCCGAGTGAGCATGCAGTCGCCGCTGTAGTGCACGTCGACGCCGCAGCGAACGCCCGCAAAGATGAAGTCATGGATGTAGTTGTTGGCAACGGTTACGCCTATGGCGCCCCTGTGCAGCACAATGGGGGTGTTCACGCCTGTAGCCGAGGGGGAAGGTGAGGAAGCGAATAGTAGAGTGGTGGGGGGAGCAAGGTGGAAACTAGACTTACGGATGGAACGGCCATGCCTATTTCCCTACAGGGGTGTTGACGCCTGTAGCCGAGGAGGGAGGGAGGGACATGCTTTTTGAGTCGACTCAAAAATCACCTACGGAGGGAGGGACATGCTTTTTTAGTCGACTCAAGAATCACCTACGGAGGGAGGGACATGCTTTTAGAGTCGACTCAAGAATCACCTACGGAGGGAGGGACATGCTTTTTTAGTCGACTCAAGAATCACCTACGGAGGGAGGGACATGCTTTTAGAGTCGACTCAAGAATCACCTACGGAGGGAGGGACATGCTTTTTTAGTCGACTAAAAAATCACCTACAGAGGGAGGGACATGCTTTTTTAGTCGACTAAAAAATCACCTACGGAGGGAGGGACATGAGGGAAGAGGTGCTGCAGCGAACACAGGGTGTTTCTGAGAATTCTAAAAAACACCCTGCAAAATCGAGGGAGGGAGGGATGTGAGGGAAGTGGCGTAGCAGCGAACGCCCCCTAAGTTGTATTCATGGACGGGATGTAGTCGTTGGTAACGGTTACGCCAATGGCTCCCCTGTGCGGGATTATGGGGGTGTTCACGGACGCCTGTAGCAGAAAAAGGCGGAGGGGACATGAGGGAAGCGGCGCTGCAGCGAACGCCGGCAAAGATTAAAGTCACGGATGTAGTGTTGGTAACAGTTCCGCCTATACTCCCCTGTGCAGGACTACGGGGGTGTTCACGCCTGTAGGGATTGGGAGGCAACGGGGGATTGGGGGGCAGACGAGGGGCCCAAGGAGCGCGGAAGAGAGAGTGAGCATGCAAGCGTCCCTGCGAAGAGGACTCACCATACACCTCGTTGTTGGAAATTACAATCCCGGATCCCAAGAGGGCGGGGCCGTAGCCAGAGAGCGCCAACCAGATCACTCACCGTAGACCTCGTTGTTGGAAATAACAATCCCTGATCGCAGGAGAGCGGGGCCGTAGACCTCGTTGACCTCGTTGTTTTATCTCACCGTAGACCTCGTTGACCTCGTTGACCTCGTTGTTTTATCTCACCGTAGACCTCGTTGTTGGAGATAACAATCCCTGATCGCAGGAGAGCGGGGCCGTAGCCAGAGAGCGCCACGCGGATCACCCCGGGCGAATAGAGGGGCGTGGACACTCCGGTGACCTTGAGCGAATCTAGGCGCACATCCATGCTTCTTAACACATCAATTCGGCCAAAGATGGCTCCCTGAACAAATGGGGGCAGGGGATTAGGGGGGAGGGAAGGCATGTGGGGAATGGAGGGGCGTGGACACTCGGGTGACCTGAGGGAATCTAGACGCACGCCCGTGCTTCTTAACACATCGACTCGGCGAAAGGGGAAGCCCTGTGAGTCGCGTACCAAGGAAAAGGGGGAGGAAGGGAGAGGGGGGTTTGGGGAGAGACGGATGTGATGTGAACTTGACCTGAGGGAATCTAGACGCACGCCCGTGCTTCTTCACGCATCGACTCGGCGAAAGGGAAGGCCTGTGAGGCGCGTACCAAGGAAAAAGGGGAGGAAGGGAGAGGGGGGTTTGGGGGAAAGACGGATGTGACCTTGACTTGAGGGAACCCCGGACGCCCGTGCTTCATAGTACGTTGATTCGACCAAAGATGGTTCCCTGTGGGTGAGATAGGGGGGGAGGGAGAAGGGAAAGCACGTGTGGGGGAGTGTGGCTTTGAGTGTGGCTTTGAGGGGAGAAGAGGGAGAGAAGGGAGAGAAGGGAGAGAAGGGAGAGAAGGGAGAGAAGGGAGAGAAGGGAGAGAAGGGAAGGGAAGGGAGATGGAGACACGTACCTTCCCAATCTACACTCTTAAGGGCATGTACCGTTCTCCCCCCCCCAAGTCAGGTACGCTGGTGCGTGGTGGGCTGCTCAGCTCTCCCCGCCAATCTGCACGCCATAGGACTTGTAGATAGAGCTCGCTGGGCCTGCGACCTTCTTCCACAGCTCAGGCACGTTGCTGCACACTGGTAGTAACAGGCATGCTGGTAGCAGGATGCACTCCCATATCAACAAGCGCAAGGAAACGGCTTACCTTCCCAATCTGCACCCCATAGGACTTGTAGACAGAGATCGCAGGGCAGGAGTCGTTTTTCCCGAGCTCAGGCACGCTGGCGCACGCTGGGCTGCTCTCTGACACTGGGACATGGTAGTTCACGTTCATCGATACGAAGTTGTTTGTGTTCCACACGCGTAACGCAGGGTACATAGGGTTACCACCCGTGATCGTGTAACCGGGCCATTTCGCGGACATCAGGATCGTGCAGGAAAACTGGCCCTGGAAAACGACCCCTGTGGGGAGAGCGAGGTCGGTTTGAAGATTCAGAATGACGGTGGTGGTCGGGGGGAGGGCGGTCCGGGCTTTGAAATCAGCAGCCGAGGTGACGTTGATTATGAATACTTTCTTCAGAGACGTGCAGGGGCCCTTGGGGCGTTTCTTTGCTTTGCTGCGTTTCTTGGAGGCGTGGATTCCTGTGGCTGTAACGGCTGTAGCGGCAGATTTTAAAGACACAGGGCCGATGATCACTGCTCTCCTGATCCCAGCATCCCCTGCATCTCCAGTTGTAGCGGCTGTAGCAGCTGTGGCACCAGTTGTAGCGAAAGTCGTGTCAATAGGTGCTGTAGCAGCAACTCCAGCTGCAGTAGCGCCAGCTGTAGCGCCAGTTGTATCAGCAACTGTAGCAGCAGGGTCTGCCACGGCTGCTGCCTCTGCCCGTGCAGAAGTCATCGCGTTTGACTCTGTTGGCCCCGTTGACTCAGCAGCAGCTGACCGCGTTGACTCAGCAGCAGCAGGCGGTTTGAGAGACAAATTCAGGAGAGCAGGCTTCCCTGAAGCAGCAGCGGCAGCCACAGCGGCAAAGAAGGGCGGAGGTTGACTCTCCTCCTCTTGCTGCTGCCGCTGCAGGGAGGAGACTTGACGCTGCACTTCGTGGTCGTGATTGTAACCATTGTCGTGACTGTACCGGTTGTGATTGTATTGAGTGGGATCCTGATGAAATCGGTGGTGGTGTAGGCTGCTGTGATGTCGGCCCGTCGTTGAAGCGCGATGCCCCATTGATGCTGGGTGCTGGCCAGTGACTGTAACGGGAGAGGGGGGGTTGGGGGGGGTGTTGATAACAAGGGAAGAATACGGAGCGGACAGAGCGAAGCGTAAGAAGCGTGAATATAATGGGCGGGATCTTGCTGAAAGGGTACCTGACCCATCTAATCCGACACACCTTATAACGCGTACCTGACCATGCCGTCACGGCAATGCTCGACGACAGGCCGGTGATTACGGCAAAAAAACCGCAGATCGTTAAGGTACTGAAGACCGTCAAGGTGCTACTAGTAGAGATCGTCATTCTCTTGCAGATCGGTGGCCTGCAGTTAACGAAACCCTAATCGCCGTGAGGTGGCGGGATACCCGTGAGATGCGAGTAACGGCTCACCGCACCGACAGGCTGATGCTAGGACGTGTCATGATTTGCGAATCTGAATAGGTTATCGCACGGCAGACTAATATATCGCACAAAACCTCGATGCAACTGTGACCAACCGAGCTGAACCGGAAACCAAAAAAGTAAATCGCTTCCACCTTTTTCAACCTGGCTATCACGACCGCCTCGATAGCATATCAGGCAGCTGCTCTGAGCCGCTAGATAGGTCATGGCGACAGGCGAATCTAGAAGGCTAGTTTCCCCATGAAACGCCATGGTTACACTGTATCGGGTCGGGAAAAGTAGTCGAAGAAATGCTCCTGCGAAAGTGAGACTGCTTTTGTTTGGTTTGGGACTCGGAATTCACCGACGCTAGCGAAGCCCAAAGGTTCGCGACGAAGCATCGCGAATGTGTGACAAACCCTGCCCATAAAAGCATCTTTCAGCGGGTATGGTAGGCGCAACAGGAAGGAGGAAGCAGCAATGCGAATCGCGAATCACAATTCTCAAATCCCAATGCGACACGGTACCCAAGTGATCCCAGTCACCGCGTCGAGCCCAATCCAAGCCGTCGAATCTGAGATGTGTGGTGCGCTTTGGCCAGGTTCAGGGCTACGGCATATGTCCGCCAAACCCAAACGGCAGATAGCTTTACCTGACCGAGCTTCGGAAAGCCGAACCTCCTCCACGTGGCAACTTGGGCAGTGACGGTTTAAGAAATACACCTTACGTCCAGTAAACTGACCATTCATTCTATGAAACTTTTGTATCTACAGAGCCACGGGTTCGAACGCACGAAAAATGGCCCAATTTATACAGGCTCAAATATCTGCAACAGTTACCACATCTGATACGAAGACCTCCAAATGTGCAGGCGGGAATTTCTCAGACCTTACACTGTTTCCCGAGGAACGCAAAACAAACAACAATGGTCACACAATTTAGACTGAAAAATGCCAATGAGGTAACCAGACTACCCTTCAACAGACCAATTTGCCCGTGAGAGTTACGTGCTCGACTCTGGAGCACCCGCTTAAAAAACAACTAAGCCTGAAAAGGATTTCGCGTGTACTTTAGCCGTACAGAGGGTATGCTCTATGCTCCAAATCCGCGACTCGCAAATATGGACTAAGACGAATAAGAGCGGTTCACTACGGGCAAAATGGATTATCGAGTAGCACGTACGGTTTTAGGTGGGGTGGCGTAGGCCGTTTTACTATTTCTGTTCACGATTAGTGACTTGGCGTATTGGCCCTTGGGCCAGGTTACCAGTGATTTTGCCACGTGTCATGTGAGGGCTCATGTGGCTTCTTAAAAAACGTACAGAGAATTTGTCGTCTGGTCAGAATTACCGTGGACAATAGAAGTAACACCTCGTTCTCGACCTTCCGCAAGCAGCGCAGGCTCAAAACGCGCAAATCATATAATTTGAAAAACTCTTTTCGTAGTCTCACGAAAAGGGCTTAACGTAACGAAATTATGACGACTCGCCTGAGCGGTTTCGTTAACCAATCACACACTTTCACGAAGGTGTTAAAAACCATTTAAGAAAAACATTTTCGAGATGTGCATTGGTTAATGGTGATTTAGGGACCGTGGGTCGTGTTTTCGTATTCGGGACGGACCCGTTCGTGTCACGCGGAAAGCCTGAATAGCTACGTCATTGGTTATAAAATATGGAAAACGCCTTGGATGTTATTGACACGAGGATTAGAATAGGACCGTAATAATAGAATGGATGAAAAGGGGGTACGGATTCGTGCCCATGTCAGCGCGCATACAAAAGTGCCAGGTGGACGGGGGTACCAGCTGGCTGTCGCCCCCCGGTTCGTCATGATTACGTCTGATCGCCCCGGCAAGCGCGTATTAGCCGGGCAATTCCAAGCACAATTCACGAGAAATTTCTGAGCTCGCACTCGTGGGTTGGTTGGCGACACCCGCATGCTGCGATCGCCCCCCATTCGGGTGGCGCGACTCGATGGTCGGTGGCATTATGCGACTGTCGTGATTGGTCACAATGTTTTATTGCGCTTTTTTAGCGAAGTCAACAGTAGATATATACCGTACAGACGGAGTACATTGTGGTGGATCTTATCAAATTCCGGACCTTGGAGTATTATATGGAGTAGAATGTCGTGGACCTAATGGCATACCCGCTCTACCTCATAGACCGTATGCCTAAAGCGCGGATGCGACGGCACCAATCAGACCAGATTCGGGACCCGTTTACAGACATTCTTGTGTACAAACGACATTGTGGTCGCGTCATATTATAAATGCTCCGCATTAGGGTAGTGTGGGATTGGTCACTAGGTACAACACATGTTCTAGTAGTATCAAAACATACATGTTTTGAGGTTTACTACTACGTAGACTAACCTGTCAAACATGTGTATTTGTCATGTTTGTATAGACTGTATAGAGTCACCTCTCAGAGGTTACAAAACTTAGATATATTTGTGTGTACTCTCACTTTACATTTATTCAATTATTCTGATATGGTATCAGAGCGTAGGTAGGATCCCCCCCCCCCCCCCCCACCCACCGCTTCCGCTCATGCCCCCTAGCGCCCCACCTGGGCCCCGTCGCGCTCCTCCCAGGCCCCGTCGCGCTCCTCCCAGGCCCCGTAGCGCCCCTCCTGGGCATCGTCGCGCCCCTCCTGGGCTTCGTAGCGCCCCTGCCAGGCCCCGTCGCGCCCCTTCTGGGCTTCGTAGCGCCCCTGCCAGGCCCCGTCGCGCCCCTCCCAGGCCCCGTCGCGCTCCTCCCAGGCCCACTAGCGCCCCTCCTGGGCCCCGTCGCGCTCCTCCCAGGTCCCGTAGCGCCCCGTCGCGCCCCTCCTGGGCCCCCGTAGCGCCCCTCCTGGGCCTCGTCGCGCCCCTCCTGGGCCTCGTAGCGCCCCTCCTACGCCCTGTACCGCCCTCCCAGGCCCCGTCGCGCCCCTCCCAGGCCCAGTCGCGCCCCTCCCAGGCCCTCTAGCGCCCCCCCCTGGGCCCCGTCGCGCTCCTCCCAGGCCCCGTAGCGCCCCGTCGCGCCCCTCCTGGGCCTCGTAGCGCCCCTCCTGGGCCTCGTCGCGCCCCTCCTGGGCTTCGTAGCGCCCCTCCTGGGCCCTGTAACGCCCTCCCAGGCCCCGTCGCGCCCCTCCCAGGCCCCCTAGCGCCCCTCCTGGGCCCCGTCGCGCTCCTCCCAGGCCTCGTAGCGCCCCTCCTGGGCTCTGTCGCGCCCCTCCTGGGCCCCGTCGCGCTCCTTCCAGGCCCCGTAACGCCCCTCCTGGGCTCTGTCGCGCCCCTCCTGGGCTCCGTAGCGCCCCTCCTGGGCCCCGTCGCGCCCCTCCTGGGCCCCGTAGCGCCCCTCCTGGGCCCCGTCGCGCCCTCCTTGGGCCCTGTAGCGCCCCTCCTGGGCCCCGTCGCGCCCCTCCCAGGCCCCGTCGCGCCCCTCCCAGGCCCCCGTAGCGCCCCTCCTGGGCCGCGTCGTACCCGTCGCCGCCGCCCGGCCCCGTCGTGCCCGCCCGGCGCCGTCGCGCCCGCCCGACCCCGTCGCCGCCGCCCGGCCCCGTCGCGCCCGCCCGGCGCCGTCGCACCCTGCCCGGCCCCGTCGCGCCGCCCGGCCCCGTCGCACCCGCCCGGCCCCGTCGCACCCTGCCCGGCCCCGTCGCAGCCGCCCGGCCCCGTCGCACCAGCCCGGCCGCCGTCCCGCTCGCCCGGCCCCGTCGCACCAGCCCGGCCCTGCCGCACTCGCCCGGCCCCGTCGCACCAGCCCGGCCCTGCCGCACTCGCCCGGCCCCGTCGCCCCAGCCCGGCCCCGTCGCGCCCGCTCGGCCCCGTCGCCCCGTCCCGGCCCTGTCGCACCAGCCCGGCCCCGTCGCGCCCGCCCGGCCCCGTCGGGCCAGCCCCGGCCCCGTCCTCCTCACTGGTACGGTTCCCCCTCCCCCCCCCCCCACCCCGCCCTGCTCTGCACCGCACTGCACCGCACTGTACCGCACAGTACCGCACTGCACCGCACTGCACCGCACTGTATCGCACAGTACCGCACTGCACCGCACTGCACCGCACTGTATCGCACTGCACCGCACCCCACCTAGCTGCACCGCCCTGCACAGCACTGGACTGTTCCTGATGGCGGCGGAGCTTCGCTTCGACGCTGAAGGTCAGCCCCTAGAGTTCGAGGCGTGGCTTGCCGACCTCCGCCGCCAACTCACTGGCCAGCGGCAGGATGGTGAACCGCTTTCCGTACACCTTGACGGTACGCTCCCCTGCCCTGACCCTCCTGCTATTCTGCCCGCTGACCCCACACCCACTGAGCGTGAGTCTACTGCTGCCACTGCCCGTGCGCGCTCTGTCTGGCTTTCTCGCGATGCTGTCGCCCAGCTTGCCATTAGCAACGCCCTCCCCCCGTCCGAGCGTCCTCGCTTTAGGTCCCTCACTACTGCTCAGGCATACTTAGATGCTGTCATCAAGCGCTATTCCACCCCTCCGGCTGCCTCGGTGGGTCGCCTGATCCTCCCGCTGCTCTTTCCTGACCTTGCTTCGTTCCCCACTGTCTCTGACCTCGCTGCCCACCTGCGCTCGATAGAGGAGACCTGGCGCGCCGCCTGCACTGACGCACAGCTTAGAGCCCACCAGCCGCCCATTACCTCAACCCTATTCCTGCTTGCCACCCGCCTCCCTGACCGCCTTGCAGTCGCCCCCGACCGCTTCCTTAGTGTTCACCCTGCAGACCTCACCCTCACTGACTTTGTCGACACCCTGACTGTGATAGAGACCCGTCACCGCTCCATCGCCCAGGCGAGCGGTGTCGTGCCGGTCCCTATCTTTCAGGATTGTGCCCCCGCTCAGTGTACCTTCTCCGACGGCTCTGCCGCAGTGGCTGAGACTGCTGCTGCAGCGCAGGCCCGTTCTGGGAAGGGCCGCCGCCCCAAGGCTGGGCGCGGCGGAGGGGGCGGCGGGGGTGCGGGCGGGGGTAGTGGTGGGGTCGGGTCGCCTGGTGCTGGAGCGGACGAGGGGACCCTGCCCAGTCCAGCTGAGTCGCCGCCCCTGCAGTTGCAGCAGCCGCAGCAGCCGCCGCAGTCGCAGCCTTCGCAGCAGCTGCAGCAGCCGTCGCAGACGCGGCAGACGAGTGTTCTCCCGCCGGGGTGGCCCGGCGCTGGCGGTGGACGGGCGCGTGGTGGTGTGCCGCGTGGTGGCTCTGCCGGCGGGCGTTGTCAGTACCAGATCCAGACCGGTCCTCGCCGCGGCTTCGTCTGCGGTAAGATCGGTCACTCCACTCCCCGCTGCTTTCGTCGCCTGGACGACCTCTTTCGTCAGCGTTTCGGCCCGTCGCCAGACCTCCCGGACTGGCACAGTTTGCTTAGTCGTCAGATTCAGATCTTTGATATGGACATGGATGCCATTGTTTCTGCTCTGCATGTGATGTATGCTGATGACTCTAGTGTGCTTCCGACTTATTACTCACTGTTGCCTAGTGTAGGTGTGCCTAGCTTCGCCTCCCCTGCTGCGTCAGGCGTAGGATCCCCTTCTTTGTTTAGCCTTGGTGCTTCCGTCGCTGCTCCGACTCCGGACGCCACTGCTGCGCTTTCCTTCACCTTGGACTCTGGCGCGTCCCGATGTTTCTTCTGCGACTCCACCACGCTGACGCCGCTTCCTGTTCCTGCTGTAGTTTCTCTTGCTGACCCCTCCTCCGGTCCGGTAGTCGCCCGCAGTTCCACCACCCTTCCCTGTCCGGCGGTTCCTTCGAGCTCTCTCACAGGTCTGCACATCCCCTCGTTCTCCAGGAACCTAGTTGGTGTCGGCTGCCTCCAGGACCTTGGCGTCACCACTACGTTCCCTAGTCACGAGCGGTATGCTGTCTGTACCGAGGCCGCCACTGGTGCCCCCCTGTCCACGTTCCCCCGGGACCCGGTGTCCGGCCTGTTCACTCTGGACACCGTGCCCCCCCCGGCTGGAGCGCCCCCTCAGGTGGCTGTGTCTCCCCAGGTTGCTGCTGCCTGCTCCTGTCGCTCCCTCACTCACCCGACCCTCCTGTGGCACCACCGCCTAGGTCACCCTGCGCTCCCGCGTCTGCGTCACATGTCCCAGCACGGTCTTGTCCTTGGTCTCCCAGGTTCACTCCCCGCGTTTCCCTCCTCCCCAGCTCCACCTTGCACGCCTTGTGTCGAGGGTCGGCTTCGCCGTGCCCCTCACTCCTCCTCGTTCCCCCCTACCGCCGCGCCGCTGCAGACCCTGCACCTGGACGTCTGGGGCCCCGCCCCCGTCCCTGGGCCGCGTCGCGAGCGCTACTTCCTTGTGCTTGTCGACGACTTCACTCGTTACACCACAGTCTTTCCCCTGGAGCACAAGGCCGACGTGCCTGGCGCCCTCATCCCCTGGCTTGTCTCTGCGCGTGTCCACCGCGGTCTCCCTGTCTTGCGTCTTCACTCAGACCGTGGTGGCGAGTTTGCCTCAGGTGTCCTTGGTCGCTTTTGTCGTGCGGAGGGCATCACCCAGACGTTCACCCTACCGGACTCCCCACAGCAGAATGGGGTCGCTGAGCGACGCATCGGCTTGGTCATGGAGGTCGCTCGCACCTCCATGGTCCATGCCGGTGCACCCCATTTTCTGTGGCCGTTCGCTGTGCGCTACGCTTCTCACCAGCTTAACCTGTGGCCGCACCCTCAGCAGCCGCAGGTTTCGCCGACCCGTCTGTGGACTGGGTCTCCTGGTGACGCGTCTGCGTTCCACGTCTGGGGCTGCCTTGCTCACGTCCGTGCCTCCGGCACGGACAAGCTCACTGCCCGCACCCTTCCCTGCGTCTTCCTCGGTTTTCCCCTTGACGCGTCCGACTGGCACTTTTACCACCCGCCGTCTCACCGCTTCTTTCACTCTCGTGACGTCACCTTTGACGAGTCCGTCTCCTACTACCGCCGCTTCCCCCACCGTGGTCCCCCGGTTACCCCCCCCTTGTTCCTGGTCACCCCTTCCCCGGTAGTCCCTGCCCCTCCTCCTCCTCCTCCCCGTCCCGCCCCCTCTGGTGTCTCCCACGTCACCCCCCTTCCGTCCGTGGACCCGGTTGAGGAGTCTTCTGACTCTGGTGGCCCTCCGGTGCAGTCCTTGCCGGCCGCCCCTCCCCAGGTGTCCCCTCCCCAGTCCCCTCCTCCGCCGTCCCTGCCGTCACTGCAGCCGTCGCCGTCGCCGCCGCCGCCGCCGCAGTCGCAGCCCCCGTTCGCTGACTCTGGGGGTGCTCGTCCCGGTCGCCCTGGGGGTGGTCCCTCTGGGGGTGCGGGTGTGGAGAGTGCCGGTGGTAGTCGAGGAGCAGCTTGCGGTCCAGGTGTCGCCGTTGTGCCGCCGCAGCAGCAGTCCCCGCCGGTGTCCGCCCTTCGCCTGCTCGGCCTTCCGTCCCCCGACCCTGCGTCGGTTCCTCCCCGACCGTCTCCTCCTCTTCCTGTCTACGGCCCTGTTTTCCCTCCGCCGGACTCGTCCCCGGCCCGTCTCCCCCCTCGTTCCCCTCCTGTGTCCCCTCCCCTGTCTCCTGACCCGACTCCTCCATCGCACGTCTGGTCTCACCGTCCCTCCCGTGCTCGTCCTGCCTCGCCTATCCTGCGCTCCCACCCTATGTTGCTTCGTTCACACGCGTCTCGTCCTCCCCTTCTGCCGTCGCCTCCTCCGTCCTCCCTTGTTGTTGCGCCCCCCCCGCTGTCCGACTACCTTCGTGCCGCTCGTCCTCTCGTTCCTCGGGTCCTTGCCTCTCTCGTTACCGACCCGTCTGTTCCAGTCTCGTGCCTTGACGCTCTTGTCGCTGCTGTCGCTGACTTCGCCTCTACCCGCCGCCTTGACTACGCCACCGCTCTGGTCTCTGACCCTGCCTGTCCTCCGTCTGTCGGGGGTGCTCCTGCCCTTGGCAGTGACGTCCTGGAGGACCGCCAGTTCGAGCTTGCTTTCCTCTCCGAGGCTGCTCCCCATCTCTGTTCCATGCTGCTAGTCCCTGAGGGTGACCCAGACGCTTTTGACATCCCGACCCCTCGCACTTACGCTGAGGCGACTTCGGGACCCTGGGCCTCGCAGTGGATAGCTGCCATGGAGCAGGAGATGGCATCTTGGAGATCCACCGGCACCTTCGTCGATGCAGTTCCCCCACCTGGGGTGAACGTAGTCGATGGCCGCTGGCTCTTCAAGGTGAAGCGCCCTCCTGGAGAGCCGCCTGTCTTCAAGGCGCGCTATGTGGCTAGAGGCTTCAGTCAGCGCGAGGGGGTGGACTTCTTCCAGACTTTCGCTCCGACCCCGAAGATGACTACTCTTCGGGTTCTGTTACACCTAGCTGCTCAGCGTGACTACGAGCTTCACTCCCTCGACTTCTCCACTGCCTTCTTTCAGGGCAGCCTACACGAGCAGGTCTACCTGCGCCGCCCTCCGGGCTTTACTGGCACCTTCCCTCCTGGGACCCAGTGGCTCCTGCGGCGCCCCGTCTACGGCCTGCGCCAGGCTCCCCGTGAGTGGCACGACACTCTGCGTGCTACGCTTGCTGACCTGCAGTTCTTTCCGTCTTCTGCAGACCCTTCACTCTTCGTTCGTGCTGGCCAGACTCCGTTCTACATCCTCGTTTACGTCGACGACCTGGTCTTTGCCACAGCAGACAGGGACGCGCTGGCCTCCGTGAAGGCAGAGCTGCTGAAGAGACACACCTGCACTGACCTTGGAGAACTGCGCCGTTACCTTGGCTTGCAGATCTCCAGGGACAGAGCTGCGCGCACCATCACCCTGACTCAGTCACACTTGGTGCGCCAGGTCCTTCAGAGGTTCAGCCTTCAGTTCTCCTCTGCACAGCCCACCCCTCTGCCTGTAGACCACAGGCTCTCCGCTCCAGTGCATGAGGAGTTGGTAGAGCCCAGCGGCCCCTACGCAGAGCTGGTGGGTTGCCTCATGTACCTGATGACTTGCACTCGCCCAGATCTCGCATACCCTCTCAGCATCCTGGCTCGCTTTGTGGCCACAGGCAGACACCGACCGCAGCACTGGTCTGCCGCTAAGAGGGTTCTGCGTTATCTTGCTAGTACATCGGGCATGGGGTTAGTGCTAGGAGGACGCAGGCCAGCGGTCCTTACTGGGCACACAGACGCTTCGTGGGCAGACGACGCTGAGACACTCCGGTCTACCCAGGGCTACTGCTTCAGCCTTGGCTCAGGTGCCGTCTCGTGGAGAGCTACTCGCTCCTCGTCTGTTGCACAGTCCAGCTGTGAGGCTGAGATCTACGCCGGTGTCATGGCGGCACAGGAGCTCCGCTGGCTCACCTTCTTGCTCACTGACTTAGGTGAGCGGCCTAGCTCTGCCCCGGTCCTGTTCGCTGACAACAGGGCCATGATTGTTAGAATTAAGGACGGAGTCTAGGTGAGCTTAGGAGCTAGAATTACTCAAAATATAAATTCGAAATTCTGGACAGAAAAGTCGTCTTCACAAGAAACGACGTCGACAAAAAAGTAGCCGTTGGAATGTCGCGAAACTTGGATATGTTGTAGCTCTTAATCTCAGCTACCGTTCCCAATTTGAATCATGTTGATTGATGAAGTATTCGCGACGCTATGGCTTTCGACGCACTAGGGGGTAAGCTGTAGGAGGAGAACTTAACTCAATCTCAAAAGTTCAATCAAAGTTCAAGAATCTCACAAGGAATTAGAAGGAGCAAGAGAAAGGTTGGGATAGAAAGAGAGGGATGAGAGGGAAGATCCCAAGAGAGTCCCCAACCAAGGAAACCCCATAAGCACAAAGATTCCCTCCCTATAGGAACCTCAACTTTGACCTTTGTCCCTTCCCAACCAATCCATCCAAGTTGGCCACCCTTGCCAACCTAGCTTGGTTGTTCCCAACCTATTTGCAGCTGTTACAGTAGAGTGACAAGTTTCCCAAACCCCAAAGGTCTCAACTCCATTGTGAGTCACCCCACAACTTCACTTTGTAACCGCCGCAATTGTAACGCAAGCTCAAGAACTTTGAATCTTCATAGCTTTCGCGTTCTTGCTCCAATTGAAGAGATTCTTGTTGCGTCGGAAAGATCTTCTCAAGATCTATCATCACAAATACCTGCTCAAACAAAATAACACATAACACATTCCCAAACTCCAGAACACACACCACACAAATGCTTGCACATTCAAACCACACATGCAAGTTGAAAACATGGGATGGGAGGCAGACAGAATGTGATAGCATACGATGACATCACACAACAATCTCCCCCTCTGGCTGCCAACCATCATCCACCATACCACATCTCAAGCATGCATACTCAATGCACACTCATCCCAGCAAGCTTCATGCCCTTCCAATGATCCGCCTCCGCCAGACGCTTAGTGAAAATATCTGCTGCCTGCTGATGGGTCTTCACTGTCTCCAGCCGCACCTCCTTATCAAGGATTCTCCTCACCCAATGCCACTTAGGCCTTATGTGTTTTGTCAGCCCATGCAGACAAGCATTCTTGGCCAGCTTCACTGCAGACTCATTGTCACAGAACACAACTGTCGGCTCCTCCTGACCAACTCCCAACTCCTCCAACAAACGCCTCAGCCATACCACTTCCTTGGCCCCATGGTGTAAGGCCATGTACTCAGTCTCACATGAAGACAATCCCACCTCATTTTGCTTCTTGCTGCGCCAGCTCACAGCACCACCTCCCAGCAAGCACACATAACCCCCAATGCTGGTGCCATCCGCTTTCACTGAGTTGAAGCTAGCGTCAGTATAGCAACTCAAGAGCATCTCACCACTCTTCACATCTGCAGCACCTCTCTGCAACCGCTGCCTCACTCCACTGTACTCCAATCCCACTGATGCCGTAGCACTCACATAGCGGACCAACCTCTTGGCCGCTTCCAGCTGCTCATGACTAGGGCGTGAGACCACACTAGCCAACCGTGATGTAGAAAATGCAATGTCAGGCCGTGTATGATTTGCAGCATAATTCAGCGACCCAACCATCGAATGAAACAGCTTTCTGTCACTCTCACCCACTACCTCCTCATCAGCACATGGCTCCACAGTAAACCCCGAAGGCAGTGGTGTTGCTGGCTTTCCCCCATCTTGCAGCCCATACTTTTCAGCCAGCCCCTCACAGTACTTCCTCTGGTGCAACCTCAGCACACCCTTCTCCACATCTCTCTCCACATGCATCCCCAGGTAGTACTTCACCTCACCCATCTTGGAGCACTTGAACTGCATCTCCAGCATCTGCTCTGCGCTGTCCAGCAAAGCAGTTGATGCAGAAAAGAGAAGGATATCATCCACATACACCAAGAGCATGAGGATTTCGTCCTTCTCCTGCAGCAGGAACAGGCTGGGGTCACACTCACTCTTCTTGAAACCCCCAGCCAGCAGCGCCTCCTCCAACTTGTGATACCATGCACGAGGCGCCTGCTTAAGGCCATAGATGGCCTTCTTCAGCCTGCAGACCCTGCCGCTCCCATCATCCAGCCCCTCTGGCTGCTTCATGTACACCTCCTCCAGAATGATCCCATTCAGAAAGGCAGTCACAATGTCCATCTGCCGTATCTTCCATCCCAGGAGTGCAGCTATCGCAAACAGCACCCTCAGTGTTGTTCCTTTCCCCACAGGAGCAAACACCTCATCATAGTCCTTCCCTTTTGTCTGCTGAAACCCCCTTGCCACAAGCCTAGACTTGTAGCGGGTCAGCTCCCCTTCAGGTCCATACTTGTGCCTGTAGATCATCTTGGAAGTGATTGCCTTCTTCCCAGGAGGCAAATCACACAGGTCCCATGTCTCGTTCTCAATCAGGGACCCAAACTCCTCATCCTCACTCGCCTTCCACTTCTCCCCATTTGGTCCATTCAAGGCCTCTTCTCGAGTCTTGGGCTCAGGGATTGGTGCCCAGTAGCAGTGAGCGATCTCATCTTCCTCAATCTGCTCAACCACACTCCCAGCCTGCACCACATTCGGCTTGCCTCTTCCCCCATAGGTCAGCCTCACCGGAGGGCGCACATCCCTCCTAGGTCGCTCAGGCGGGTGTGGAACTCGAGATGGAGACTCATGCTGCTGCTGCTGCTCCACCTCAGCTGCTCCCTCTTCCTCAGTCACCCCAGACATCTCCTCCTCAGACACTGCAACCTCCACCTGTCTTGAAGGCCGCTGCACCTCATCTACCTCCACAATGAGCGGTGTAGATGGAAGCTTCTGTTGCTGCTGCTTCCATTCCTTGTAGTACAGGGACTCAAGAAACTTCACATCCCTTGACACTGTCAGCTTCTGGGTGGTCAAGTCCCATAGCAGCCACGCTTTGTGATCCTTTGCAATCCCCAAGTGCACACCCCATCTTCCAGAAGCCTCCAACTTCCCCCTTTTCTCTTTAGGCACATGAAACACCACCATGCACCCAAATGCCCTCAGCATGTTCACAGCTGGAGCACTCCCATACCACTTGGTATATGGAATCCACTCCTTATCCCCAACTGTGGCCAGCACCCTGTTCTTCACAAGGGCGACCTGCCTCAGTGCAGACACCCAAAACGGATCAGGCAGCCCTGCACGCCCAAGGAGAGTGCGTGCCCCCTCCTGCAGGGTCCTGTTGAACCTCTCAGCCATGCCATTCTGCTGCGAGTTGTAGGGCACTGTCAGTTGATGCTAGATCCCCTTCCTCTTCAACTCCCCCTCAAAATCAGCTCCAATGAACTCCCCACCATTATCACTGCGGATCACCTTCACCTTGTGTCCGCATTCCCTCTGAGCTCTAGGCATCCACTCCTTAAGGACAGCCGCTGCCACCTCCCCCTTGCTCTTCAAAGGGTAAACCCACACTGCCCGAGTGTGGTCATCCACAATTGTCAAGAAATAGCGGCTGCCTGAGAGGGAAGGGGCTCTTGTGGGCCCCACCACATCCATGTGCACAAGTGCAAGTGGGGTCTTGGCTGGTCCTGTAGTGCTGTTGAAAGGGAACTTGGAGAACTTGGTCTCCAAGCATGTAGGGCAGCTCCTAATCTCCTTCACTCCCCCTTTCACCTCCAAGCCTTTCAGGCTCCCATCCTTTACCAACTTCTGCAGCATAGGGAAGTTCACATGACACAGCCTCTCATGCCATGTCTCCCAATCGGCCTCACCACTCCTTGATGAAGCCTTAGCCTATGCCGCACTCGCATCCACACCAGCAAGCACCTCACTATGTGTCTGCTGCTGCTGCACTTTCTTGACTGCTTCCAGGACCCCATCAGTTGGTGCAGTTGCATCTCCTCCTGCTGTTGCCTTTGCCGCTGCTGCCGTTGCTGTTGTTGGAGTCTTCCCATTCCAAGGGATGATGGGCAGCTGCCATAGGTCCTTGATGCAGCTGGTCTCCTCTTCCAGACTCCACAGCACCTTCTTCCCAAGCTTAGCACGGCAGCTGGTTGGTCCAAAGGTCACTTCGGCCTTGCTCTTCTGCAGTCGCCGCACAGAGAGAAGGTTAGCAGACAAACCTTCAACTAGCAGAACATTCCCAAGCCCCACAAGCTCCCCATTAGCTCCCTTAACCTTGGCATTCCCAACGCCAATCACAGGGAGCAAAGCACCTGACGCTGCTGCCACATACTTGATCTTCCCAGGGGGTTTTACCTCATCAAGCAAATCTGCCCGTAGGGTCATGTGACTGGTGCACCCTGAATCAATCACCCAGTGTGTGAGAGGGTGCATCACAACCTTTCCCACTGATCCCACATCACCCTCATGTCCATGCACATCCTCAACCATAACAAACAAACCAGGATAGGCATTACCTTGTGCACCTTCACCTTGTGCACCTGAGCCTTGCACAGCGCCACCTTGTGCGCGTTCACCACTGGGCGGCTTCATGCCTGGAGGTGCCCATCCCTCCGGCCTGCTGAAGCACTTGAACCAAGGATGCCCGACCTTCTTGCAGTACCAGCAGGTGCCCTCCATTCTGGTACTCCCCCTGCCACCAGAGCTCCCATGCCCCTCATTATAGTCACCTCGGCCTCTACCTCTGCCAAAGCTCCTCCCACGGCCTCGGCCTTTCCAACCCCCTCTTCCTTTGCCGCGCCCTGCAGCTCCATACCCCTCAGCAGTCTTAGTGGCAGCACCGCCTCCCACATGGCGTCTGCGGAAGTCCTCCTGCAGAATCTGCTGCCTTAGCCACTCAGGTGTCCATTGATCTTGCTGAGAGTTGAGGGTGGGGATGAGGTTGTCCCAAGAGTTGTCTAACACCGAGATGATCTTGGTGCACTGCTGCAGCTGAGATACACTGCTGCCCGCTGCTGCCATCCTTGCATAGGTGTCCTTGATCTTGTCAAGGACCGGCTTCACATCGTCCCCTGGTCGCATGGAGATGGCAGCAAGTTCCTTCTCGAGCACGATCACCATTGGGAGAGTGTTGGGCTGAATCACATCACGTAGTAGTTTCCACGCCCTTGGACCCGAATCATCCGCTTCCACAAGATCCTTGATGTGCTCGAACATCTCCTTGTTGACCGATTGAAGGATGAGGTCGAAAAGCACCGCGCTTTTCTCAATCCACCGTTCGCGTGCTTCGCCTTCTTCCGGCATCTTCTCTTCCCCAACAGCAATCTTCAGTAGCTTGTAGCGTTTGAAGGCACTCCTCATCCGTCCGCTCCATTCCTCATAGTTGGAGCCATCCAAAGCTTCAACTTTTGATGGCGGCGGCTCACTTGTCTTCTCAGCTACAGCTCCTCTTCCATTAGCATCTCCTCCTCTCTCATTCATCTTCTCCTTGAGAAATGACGAATTTCAGCTCCCCTTTGCTGTCCACACTCAGCTCCCTCGATATTTTCACAAGTGTCGGCGTCCACGAAATTTCGGCAGAGTTTCCCCTTAGCGGAAGACACATCCAACCTTTAGAACACCACTTAGGCACACCCACAGGCCATGGTGGGTCTAAAAGGGTCTTCACACTTCTGTAGACTCCTCTCAATGTCCTTAATATCGCTCTGATACCACTTGTTAGAATTAAGGACGGAGTCTAGGTGAGCTTAGGAGCTAGAATTACTCAAAATATAAATTCGAAATTCTGAACAGAAAAGTCGTCTTCACAAGAAACGACGTCGACAAAAAAGTAGCCGTTGGAATGTCGCGAAACTTGGATATGTTGTAGCTCTTAATCTCAGCTACCGTTCCCAATTTGAATCATGTTGATTGATGAAGTATTCGCGACGCTATGGCTTTCGACGCACTAGGGGGTAAGCTGTAGGAGGAGAACTTAACTCAATCTCAAAAGTTCAATCAAAGTTCAAGAATCTCACAAGGAATTAGAAGGAGCAAGAGAAAGGTTGGGATAGAAAGAGAGGGATGAGAGGGAAGATCCCAAGAGAGTCCCCAACCAAGGAAACCCCATAAGCACAAAGATTCCCTCCCTATAGGAACCTCAACTTTGACCTTTGTCCCTTCCCAACCAATCCATCCAAGTTGGCCACCCTTGCCAACCTAGCTTGGTTGTTCCCAACCTATTTGCAGCTGTTACAGTAGAGTGACAAGTTTCCCAAACCCCAAAGGTCCCAACTCCATTGTGAGTCACCCCACAACTTCACTTTGTAACCGCCGCAATTGTAACGCAAGCTCAAGAACTTTGAATCTTCATAGCTTTCGCGTTCTTGCTCCAATTGAAGAGATTCTTGTTGCGTCGGAAAGATCTTCTCAAGATCTATCATCACAAATACATGCTCAAACAAAATAACACATAACACATTCCCAAACTCCAGAACACACACCACACAAATGCTTGCACATTCAAACCACACATGCAAGTTGAAAACATGGGATGGGAGGCAGACAGAATGTGATAGCATACGATGACATCACACAACAATGATCCTCCTGTGTCAGGAGCCTCGACTCGAGGGCAGAGCGAAGCACATTCAGCTGCGGTACTTCCTCCTACGTGAGCTACAGCAGCGACGTCAGGCTCGCGTAGTACACTTGGCCTCAGATGCCAACACGGCTGATATCTTTACGAAGGCGCTTGCGCCTAAAGATCATCAGCGGCACTGTGTACAGCTTGGTCTAGTTCCTGTAGCCTCTCACTTGCTAGGACCTTGACTTTGTACTGTCCTTTATATGTATACTCAGACTGGACTTGTGTCCTCTCCCAGTGGCTGGACTAGTAGTGCCGCCTTGCTCTTGTGCTTGCCTTGTCTGTACTCCTTCTGACCGGTCGCTCAGACCCTTGCCTCAGAGGTTGGACTAGTAGTGCCGCCCTGAGCTGCTTGTTTAGGGTATTCCCCTATGCAGTCTAGGGGGTGTGTCAAACATGTGTATTTGTCATGTTTGTATAGACTGTATAGAGTCACCTCTTAGAGGTTACAAAACTTAGATATATTTGTGTGTACTCTCACTTTACTTTTATTCAATTATTCTGATATAACCAACATAGCTTCATACCCAAACTACTTCTAAGCACATAGTTGCTTTCCAATGGCAAGCTCCCAATCACAGCAACTGGCTCCTTAGCCACGAGTACTCCGACGTTGCCAACATCTGTGCCCTCACTTTCGCAGGGATGAGGTCATGATCAATAATGTGCTTCGTGTCCATACCCACCACCATGAAAAACCCAGCAGGCCTCGGCACATTGTAGTTGAAGTAAAACGAGTTGGTCGAGAATTTCCTGGGGCCAACCAACCCTTTCGGGCAGCTCAAATAATTTGGCCTCCTCTTGAAAATCGGCGAGCCCTTTTGGAGCCCAAGGTCGTTGCGCCTGTAGTTGCGGAACTTCACGTACGCGGGGCTCACCGTGATGTTATACTCCAAATTGAGTCGCGGCACAACGGGGTATTTCTCGCAATACTTGTAACTGACAGCCCTCGTACTGTTCACGGTAACCAGATCGATAAGGTTGTCGGTCCCGTAACCGCTGCACGCGCCCGTAACACTAGCAGGTGGCTGGCCAGGGGGGTTGCATGGCACCCCACCATAAGCTGACTTCTCCTTGCACACATTCTGCATCCACGGCCACCTCTGGGGGAGGGAGAGGTCGGAGGGAGAGTGGGGGGAGAAGAGGGGGAGGGGAAGAGGGGAGAGGGGAGAGGGAGGGAGGGGGAAGATATTGAGAGGGAGAGAGGAAGATGTTCCCTGGGTGGGATCAAAAGACAATGGCCAGGGGGGTTACATGGCACTCCTCCCAGGAGAGGTTGGCAGCGATGGGAGGGAGAGAGGTTGAGTTGGAGAGGGAGAGGTTGGAAGATTGAGAAGAGATGACCTGAACTGAGTGTCTCTATCCAATTATGGCCACCTTGTGTGATGTGAATGGTTTGAAGCAGATAGGCGACACATGCGCGACACACAAAAAATAGTATCACAGCAAACCAGACAAGGCAACCGTGAGGCATTTGAAAAGGATGCCGTTGTGTGTAAACGTGAAAGCAGCGTGTGGTGAAGCACCTGGTGACTGCGACAACGGGCACCGAAACACCAGGTGACTGCGGCGGGCACTGAAGCACCTGGTGGTGACTACCCATATCCAGTGCTCACCTTATTGATTACAGCCGAGTTGTAGTACTTCACTCGCATCGCCTCCCAGTAGCTGCCCGGGTCCTTGAGGCAGTTGTTGAGTGTCACTGTGAAGCATGTGGTCCAGCCAGGGGAGCCCTCAACACTCTTCATTGCCACATGCTTTATCACGTTCCTGTAACGAGTGGGGCAGTAACGGGGATAAGGAGGATGAGAGGCCGTTGTTGAGTGTGACTGTGAAGCATGCTGTCAAACTGGGGGTGCCCTCCACGCTCTTCATTGCCACGTACTTTATCACGTTCGTGTAACGAGTGGGGCAGTACGGGGGGGAAAGGGGAAGGGGGACAGTGGTATCATGTGTGAGAGAGCTGAAACATGGGCATGGAGGACAGCACCCCAGGTGTAACACGATAACTTCGGAGGAGGGTATGCTGGTGAAAATATGCTGGTGCAAAGTAGGCATCATTCGATAGGCGAGCGAGGATAGTTGAGAACATGCTGGTCATGGATCTGGTAGCCTTTTCATTTTTATTTTCTGCCTTCTCACCTCTTCCCGTTATTCACTTTCATGCCATCCTTGTGACTTTTGAGTCGACTCAAAAGTCACCGCCCATGCCCCAATCGTCTCACCTCTTCCCGTTGTTCACTTTCATGCCATCGTAGGTGCCAACGCACGCTCCGCCTCGTACAAGCACACCGGATGTGCAATAATCGAGGTAATAGCAGTGATCCCCGTTAAACACATAGTTGCAGAACGCCTTGTTACCTGTGTTAAACACGTGGGTGTAAAAAAGTGCAGGAAAAGTGAGTGGGTAGGTGGGTGGGTGAGTAAATACAGGGTACACCAACAGTAGATCTGCATTGCGGTACACTCTGTCTTTCCAGCCATAGAAGGCTGACTCACCGGGGTTGAACCAGTGCGTGCAATGCAGATCTACTCTGCAGTTTTAGATTCCTGCAGCATCACGAGTACTCCTTTTCTCAGAGCCCTCAGGGGAAGGCCACCCCCCCCCCCCCCAAAAAAAAAAGATGACTCAACCCCGAAGGCCACACCCCCCCCCCCAAAAAAAAAAGATGACTCAAACCCGAAGGCCACAGAAGGCTAACTCAAAGTTACGCTGAAGTTACCTACCTCACCGGGGCTGAACCAGTGCGTGCAGTAGTAGATCCCCGTGGCATTGCTATACACTCTTTCACGAAGCGGACTCACCGGGGTTGAACCAGAACGTGCAGAAGTAGATCTCCACGGCATCGCGGATACACACACTCTCTAAGACATCTCAAATGCAGGCTAAACCATGAAAATCCTATTGTAAGCTCAACCAAGTGAGCCGACTAACCGGGGTTGAACCAGTGCGTGCAGTAGTAGATCCCCGCGGCATCGTGATCCCCATTAGTGTTCCTCCCCTTAGCGACCACAAGGTTGGAGTTGATTCGAGTGAGCATGCAGTCACCGGCGTAGTGCACGTCCGCGCCGCAGCGAATGCCCGCGAAAATGAAATCGTGGACGTAGTTGTTTGTAACGGTTACTCCTACCGCACCCCTGTGCAGCACAATCGGGGTATTCACGCCTGTAAAACACAAAGGTGAGCACATAGGAAAAAACACATTCAAGAATTATTATAATCGTAAATGTACTGTAGTGTTGTCTGTAACAGTTATACCGACGCTACGTCTGTGCAGCACAATGGGGGTATTCACACCTGCCGGCAGAAAGACAGAACGATAGAAATCGATAAAGACAGAACGACAGAAATCGATAAAGACAGAACGACAGAAATCGATTAAGACAGAACGACAGAAATCGATAACGATGGAAGAGGAGAGGGAAGTAGGGTAGGGGTGAAGGGACGAGAAGGGTAAGCGACGAATTAAACAGCGGGACTTAGGGAAAAACGAGTGTTAATGGATGGAGGTAGAATGAAGGACGCGAGGAGAATCTCGGCAAAACGAAGCCGTTTTTTCCGCTTTTCTTTTGGAAAAAAATGCTCACCATAGACCTCGTTGTTGGAGGTGACGATGCTGGCCAGCAGGAGGTTGGGGCCGTAGCCAGAAAGCGCGCAGCACCAGTGGTGCCATGCCACTAGCAGGCAGGCAACTGATAATCGATAATAGGGACAAAGAATTGCCACCCGATCGCTCACCATAGACCTCGTTGTTGGAGATGACGATGCTGGCCAGCAGGAGGTTGGGGCCGTAGCCGGAAAGCGCGACGCGAATGGCGCCAGGCGACTTGTCGAAATTCGGCACTCCGGTGACCTTGAGGGAATCTATCCTCACCACCATGCTTCGAAGGACGTCCACTCGGCCGTATACGGCACCCTGTGGGATATGGGAGGGGGTTTTAGGGCAGGTCCGGTGGGCATTCGGAGGGAGAAATTCGGCACTCAGGTGACCTTGTGCGAGTCGAACCTCCCGACTATGCTCCGTAGCACGCCCACTCGGCTGTACACGGCACCCTGTGGGAGGTGGGAGGGGACGGGAGAGGGGGGAGAAGGTTTTGCACATGTGAACGAGTGACCTTGAGGCAGTCGATCCTCACGACCATGCTTCGGAGGGCGTCCACTCGGCCGCATACGGCACCCTGTGCGCACGATAGGGGAGGGGGAGAGGGGAGGGGGGAGAAGGGAGGGGGGGAAAGGGGGGGGAGAAAAGAGGGGGGAGAAGGGAGGGGGGAGAAAGGACGGGGGAGAAGGGAGGGTGGCGAAGGGAGGGGGAAGGGAAGGGGGAGAAGGGGAGGGGAAAGGGGTGGAGGAAGGGGGGGGGGGGGTGGTTGGTTGGGGGTGCCGATCTGCACACCGTACGACTGGAAGATGGAGACGGCGGGGCACGTCACCCCCGCGCCGAGCTCCGGCACGTTGGCGCATTCGGGGCTGCCCTCCGCCACTGGGAAGGCGGGGGGCGCCTGTAACTCGCATCGACCCATCTCACTCACCATGCCAATCTGCCGCCTGTAAACCCTAGGGTTTTTTTAGTCAACTCGACTCAAACGCATTCGGAGCTGCCCTCCGCCACTGGGAAGGAGCGGCCCGCCTGTAGCTCACATCGACCCATTGACAAGCATCCACCACTCACCAGCAGCGATCACTCACCAGCAGCGATCACTCACCATGCCGATCTGCACGCCGAATGACTTGAAGATCGAGACGGCGGGACAGGTGACTCCCGCGCCGAGCTCGGGCACGTTGGTGCATTCGGGGCTGGCCTCCGACACCGGAAACTTATAATTAACGTTCATCGACACGAAGTTATTCGTGTTCCATACGCGAATTATTGGGTTCGCCAGATCCGTACTCGTTATAGTAAACCCCGGCCACTTCTCGCTCATCAGGATCGTGCAGGAGTACTTCTGGTTGAACAGGAGGCCCTGGGTAAGCGCCAGGTTGTTTTTCAGGTAGAGAACAACAGAGGCGGTCGGCGGGAGCATGGTCCGCGTGGCTAGATCGGACGCCTTAGTGATGTTGATAATGTAAACCTTCTTAAGACTAGTGCACGGCCCGGCGGGCCGCTTAGTCGCTTTCGGCCCCGTTGACGTCGCCGCGTTGCCCGCTTCCCCGAGAAACAACCCCTCTATATTCACAGGGCCTATAATCACAGCCCTCCCGTTCCTTCCGACCGCTCCCCCGCCGACCGCGGCGATCGAGGCTATTGCTCCTCCTCCTCCTCCTTCGCCCACGGCTGCTGCTTCGGCGATCGAGCCTGTTCCTGATTCCGGCGTAACCACAGGTTCGGCATTTTCCGAGGCAGGTTTGCCGGCAGCTGCGGCGGCGGCGACTGCGGCGAAAAGAGGTGGCGGCTGGTTACCAGCTTGATGGAAGAGGAAGTGATTGAGAGTGTAACGGGGGTCGTCAGGGTGCAGGTTCGGGTCGTGATGATGCCCCACGCCGGCCGCGTGATGGCCCTCGGAGCCGGGATGATTCCCTGTGACTGTAACGGAAATATGGGGAGGAGAGGAAATCACGGGAATGCGGAGGTTAGGTTCGCTGTGGTATGGTGATAGGGTATGGAGGGAAAGGGAGGGTGGATGGGTGTCGTGAAAATTTGCGATTTTGATGGTGGATCGAGTGTGATTGTCTAAGCGACGCCGCAGGTGCCGCGGACAGGAATGCTCATCATAAAATATGCCGGAATGCATATTCGAACATATATTAAAGTTTTCTAACAAATTTAAAGCGAAGAAATATGGAACGGTGCGAGAAATGACTGACCTGTCCATGCCGACGCGAACGTCGTTGCGACGAGCAGGACACCTATCAGCAGCACAATGCCGCGCATTCTGAGCTTCGCAGATTCTCAGCTTCGAAACTTCGAAACTACGGAACGCCCTATCTTATCATTAGCAATCTAACCGAAACCCGATATTTTGTTGTCAAAGCTCCGATTATCTTCTTCAAGGCCGAACTTTTGCGTCCCCGTTGCAGTCTAACCACTGACCAACGGTCGTGCGAGGCTAGAGCTGTTGCTGCTTCTACTGCAAGCTAAGTCCCGTCCCGAGAAACGAAGGGTGCTGCTGGTGCTGAAGGTCGGTTGCCGGGTTGACTGAGACTAGGGTTCGGATGAGCGACGAGGAGGAGAGGAAGAGGTGGAAGTGGGGAGGAGCACGAAAGCAAGATTCACGAGCGAAGGCGAGAAATGCGGAGCTTCCTTTTCTCCTCTCCTCCCTCTGTGGAAGCACGCCAGAGGACCGTACAGTACTGCTGTACAACGGGACTTTCAGGGCAAGGGAATGCAGTTTCACCCGTGGTGTCGCATTTTTCAGGATTTCGGCACTGCAATTTTGGCAGTGGCGCGGTCCGTTCCGGCTGCGGTGCGGTGCGGTCGTGTCATCTGAGGGAAGCGGAGGTCTGGCAAATTCCCGAGCCTAATTCCGTAGAAATGCTGCTTGCTTTCGGGCAAGAGTTCTAACAATATCTGCACCGTTGCACCGTTGCAGCTTTAGGGCTGTTTCTAGTAGGTGTCATCCTGAAAAAAGTGTCATCCGAGAATGTTGGAAACCCATCGCAACCGTTGAGGTTTCAAAATAACGGTTGAGATGGGTTTCCAACATTTCTTGGATGACACTTTCTCGGGATGACACCTATTAAAAGCTTCCCTTAGAGTGTTCAGTGCTCCGTAAAAAGCGCATTTTATACACGCAAGTAGGGATTCAAGAGCCGAAACATTTGGAGCTGGACACAATGTTTCACCAGCAATTTCTAGCTCAGGCTCGGCTCCCGGTTCGGTGACTGCGGTCTAACATGGCGACGGTGCGTCTCGGTGCCGCTGGCTGGGTGGCGGGGCACGTTGTCTGGTCTGTGCTTCCTTGTCATTGTGTGCGCTTATCGAGAGGCACATCACACCAATCCCCACCTTTCTTGTTCTTCACATAGGCAAAGCGAAAACAATATGAAGTGTAGTAGCGTTACGACTTTCTACAATGGTCGCCAGCAATGCTAATTGCATCAGCGACACCGTTGCCTTACCGTTTCGTTGAGGCACCAACAGCCCAATACGCTATCTCGCACACTTCGGTGCGACGTGAAATTGGCACTGGCGAAAGATAGGCAACACCCGCAAACCGCTCACCAGCAATCGAAGGGGTTTGTCGGTGAGGGGCGCTGCCGTCTTCTCGCAGCCACCAACTGCCACCATAACCACCATGAAGGCGTGTCTCTTACGGTTCCGCTTCTGGAAGTTCCGGAACTAGTTCCGGAACTGGCGAAGATTTTGCCTGGGAAGGAGCTCGCGAAGCCCTGTCGAAATGTGCTGCGAGCTGTGTAACCAGCCCAGGTTCCGGAACTTGCCGAGTTCCGGAACTGTAAGACACACGCCTTCAGTGCCCCCATCGAAGTCGCTAAACTTAACTTGTCAGCAAAGCTCACTTACCCAGGCGTAGAAAGCCAAGTACGCAGTTCTTGACGGTTGAAAGTTTCATTTGCTATGATATGGCGAGACCACGTGCGTGATTTTGACGCATTTGATACGCTTCTAACGCTAATACTAACGCTACTATTAGCGGTAATACGCACCAGTTGCTTCAGCCCCTTTTCTTGTATTCTGCTGTCTCTAACACTACTCGCACCGTCATTAATTCTCACTTACTCTAGGGTGAAAGCTTACCAATATGACGAAGCTGGTAACCAGATTGCCACGCACTTCGTCCACCCTTCGCCCATTCATCGTTACACCCCTTGCCACGTTGCTAATGCTTGTCGTACTATCACTGCTCCAAACCGTTAGGGTCACTTTCGGCTATAGTCACACTCCCTTCCACTGGCACCACCGCCACCGCGGCGTCGAGCCAGGCTTCAACCGACTGGCGGAGGCCCGCGCCGCGGGTGACGTGGAGGACACGTGGGACGTCCTTGCGGGAACGCCGCTGCCGGCGGGAATGGGGCGACTGCATAGAGAAGAGGGGGAGACGGGGGAGCAGGAGGGGAAGGAGGAGGGGACGGGGGAGGGAAAGGGGGTGGGGGAAGGAAAAAAGGAGAGGGAGAGAGAAGCGAGAGTAAGAGGGCAGTTGACTGATGGGTCAAAAGAGATACTACTGACAGGTGGAGATGTGACTGTAACGGGAGCTGACGACGGGAGCAGTGGTGCAGATGGGGTTGGGAACGGTGGGAACGTCGGGAGTGGGAGGGAGTGGGTAGGCTACAAACGCGTACACAGACAGGTTGGGAGATGGTACAGTGGCGAATCTCGGAACAGTGGCTCGATAGCTATCAGTGGTAGGAAAGAGAACAATGTAGCCAGTCTCCCTTCGCTGCAATCACATTCGGAAAGAACCGGTGCAGCAGCAATAGCAGCAGCAGAAGCAGCGGCAGAAGCAGAAGCAACAGCAGTCGTGGACACAGGAACAGCAGGGGTCAAAGCGTCCACGTCAGGGCCACCCTTTTCCACGCCAGCAGCGGCTGGAACAGTCGGGAAATGCTCCCCAGTGAAGACAGCTGTCCGAATCGCGGTGACCAAACCGGCGGATATTCTGCAGCGAACGAAGCACGACCCGACGAAAACCGTCGTGCTGACGCTGCAGAATAGCATCGTGCTTACCAAAGGAATTCTCTTTGGTAAGCTTTTCTCCTGTACGATTTTTCAATCCGCTAAGTTTGGCGCTTATACGGTCTCGTATCCAGGGGACAATCAGCCGGCGATTAGGGTGTACAACACCAGCAACGTGCTAATTATGGGGATAAACTTCGTGGTCAAGACCAAGTTCGAATCTCCCGCCTGCCCGCTCGAGATGCCCGAGCTGGGAAAAGGCGTCATCTGCCCGACCGTCTGGGTGTACGGATCGTACGGCGTGCAGATCGCCAAGGGATACGTGTACGGTCGGATCGACGTGTACCGATCTATGAAGTCGCGAATCGACAGCATGAAAGTAACCGGCGTGTGGGATTTCGCGAAGAGCAACGGCGTGCTAAGAGTCGGGATCAGCGGGATCGGAACGCAGCTGGTAAAATCGGGAATCGCGGTTTCGAATAATGTTGTTTTCGGAGCGGATACCCCGCTGGTGGTGTATAACGGAGCCGTGGGAGTTAAGGTTGTGCATAACTACGTGCATACTTACGGCTTTGCGGGGATTAGGTGCGGCGCAGACGTGCGCAATCAAGGGGACTGCATGTTAGGGTTCATAGGATATAACTACGTGTATAGTAGGCTGAGGAATATGACTGGAGCGGCGGATTCGGCGGGGATATACTACTGCACGCATTGGTTTAACCCAGGTAGGGGAGTTCTTGTGCCTTTTCATTTTCTTTTATATTAAATTGTTTTCCTCTTTTGGTTTCGTCTCCCCCTGCATAGGCTCGAACTGTTCTCTTTTTTGCCTTCCCCGCTTATTTCACTTGTACACGTTTTCTCTACAGGTAACAGGGCTCGGTGTAACTATGTGAAAGGGGGCGACCACTGTTACTACTTGGATTACAACACTTCGGGAGTGAAGGTGCTGGGCGGAGTGTGCTACGACAATTGGGATGGGCTCAAAGTGAACAACGGGAAATAGTGAGTCTAAAAAAAAAATGTTATTTTTGTAGAGAACGGGGGCAAAGCAAACATTGTTACATGCTTTTCGGGAGTGAAAGAGCTGGGAGGGGTGTGTTACAAGGTGCTAGGCGGAGTGCGGTGCTGGGCGGAGTGCCGTGGTGGGTGGAGTGCGGTGGTGGGTGGAGTGTGCTACAACAACTGGGATGGGCTCAAAGTCAACAACGGGAAAAAGCAAGTTCATTTTACGGCTTGGTGGTTTGAAAGTTTCTAGTCAGTCTCATCCACTTGATCCCCCTTCCACCACAACCATGTCTCTCCCCTCCCCCACCCCCCCCCCCCCCCCCCACACCGCACCTTTCTCTGGTGTTACCTCTCCCTCACACCCAACCCCACTTCCCCATTCTCCCAGCAACTACCTCAAACACTGGCTGGTGGTCAACACACTCTCGAAGTCCCCCAGCTCAGCAGACTCTGGTGTTACCCTCCCCCTCCTCCCCACACCCTCCGACCCCTCTCCCCTCCAATGCTCCCAGGAACTACCTCAATTACGTGCTGGTGGTAAACGCACTCAGTCCCCCAGCCCTAGACCGTTACTGGAAACTGGTTTTCCCCCACCCCCCTCACCCCCCACACAATGCTCCCAGCAACTACCTCAAACACGTGCTGGTGGTTAATGCACTCAAGGCCCCTGGCCAGTGCACCTTTGCTGGACCCTCCCACCCACCCACCCCTCTCCTCTTTTCCCCTCCCATCTCCTTTTCCCACTCATCCTCCCAGCAACTACCTCAAACACGTGTTGGTGGTTAACGCACTCAAGGCCCCTGGCTGGTGCACCTGTCTCACCCCTACTGTCAACAACTGCAACAAGTTTCCTGGAAACTACTGGGAGAACATGCGGCTCAAGTACTACAACACACCCACATTCAACACAGTACGTCCGTGGGATTAGTTATTTGATAAGGTGGCTTTAGTGTCACGTCTGGGGAAGTACTGGGCAACATGAGGCTCAACTCAACTCAAGTACCACAACACGCCCACATTCATTACTGTACGTCAATGGGATGGGATCAGTTAGTTGTTAACACGGCTCTACGGTCACTCCTGGAAACCACTGGGAGAACATGCGGCTCAAGTACCACAACACACCCACATTCAACACTGTACGTCTGGGGGACCCCAGGTAGACTATTATTCACTCCTGGGAACGGTTGGGAAAACATGAGGCTCACCGACATTCAACACTGTACACGTCACTGAATTAGTTACACTCCGAGGCACCTCGGAGGGGGTTCAGCTTACAAGACATTCATGGGAAAGCAGGTGGCTCACCTGCAATGGCCCTGCTCACATTCATGTTCCCTACGTCCCCCCCCCCCCCCCCCCCCCCCCCCCCTCCTTCCACGTGATAGGAGTCTAGTTTTGAGGCGCCTCAAAACTAGACTCACCTGCAATGGCCCTGCTCACAATCATGTTCCCCACATCCTCCCCCCCCTCCCCCCCTTTCCACCCACACACATGTGCACACACACACTCTCTGTCTCACGCACGTTCTCTCAAATATACTTCCCTGGTTTCCTGCACTCACATACTCCCCTGGTTCCCGACACTTATCCCATGCTCCCCTTCCTCCAGCGCTGGCCCTGGTTCACTACAGTGTGCAACACGACTCATGTAAACGGAGTGTACTGTAACATGAAGGGGAACATTTCCAACCCTTATCTTCCCTGGGAGACCGGCAAGTGCAGCGGATTGGCTACTAACAACTACCTCGATATAATAATAGTCAACGGGAGCAACAAGCCGATGGAGTATCGCTATTGCGAGCGATCGCCCGCGATGCCGCTTTTGAACCAGCATTATTTCGTCAACGTCACATTACAGGACGTGCCAAAGCTACAGTTCAAGAACTGGAGAGCGGGCAATTTTGAAGTGCCTAAAACGTCGCTTATCTATAAGCGCCGGCCCAGGTTCATTAACTGCAAGCAGCAGCAGTATGGGCCAAGGAAGGTGGATAATAGTTTCTACATGAAGAATTTCAACATCCCAAAGCCAGTATGGATGGATGCGCTACTTGCTATGAGAACTCTTCACATACACGACTCAGTAGGATGGCCTTGACATACCGTATTCCCCCGGATATACGCACCGCCAGCTAAAACGCACCATGGTGCGTATATCCGGAGGGGTGCCATATCGGATGTGCCAATGATACGCACCCCCCCATTTTCCAGATTCTAATCCCTATACGCACCCCCCTTTTCCCCGTGGGAATCTCGCACTGACTATGTTGACTGTACATTTGGCATCAAGTTTACGTGACGAATCACTTCATCACACAAAATCGACCCCTGGCCTTCCGACTCATCGAAGGTGTGGTCGGCAAAGCTCTGCTGCCGTGTCAGATGAGAGAACGGATGGCCAGGATCGCCCACGCTAGCCTGCACGCTGGCAAACTGCAGCGAACGTGCTGCTTGGCTGACGCGCAGGCCTCTGGATAGGATTAGAAGTACTCTTTCTTGTAAGGGTACTCGCTTGCTGCCACTTTTTCTGTAAGGGTATATTTAAAAGCTACTTTGTAATATAAGGGTCCTAAATATTTGTACTTTTTCACATAAGGGTATAACTCCAGCGCAGCCTTACACTTTACTGTAGGTACAGGATCTCCCGTGATCAGACGACTGACGTGTTGCAGATTTGTGACGACGTGCCTTGGGTGGCACTCGACAGGGTGCACCAAGATTTTTGTTTTTGTTTGTTAGCGCTGAAGTGGGGGGAATGTCGCACCTCGGTAATTTTGCTGTTAGTGCGTATTTCTACATTAGTGCTTTCAGTACCAGAGAACCAAACTTCGCGAAGTACCAAATCGAACCGAACAGGAATTCGCGTTTTGACCCTCGGACCTCACCGTTTCGCGTTTCAGAGTCCATTCCGGGTTTGCTGGTAGTGATTACTGTCTTGTAGAAATACGACCTCATTCCCTAGACCCTTCCTGGTCGCGACCTCATTTCCCGTTGGTGCCGCACTCGTTTTTTGTTTTTTTTTTTTGTTTTTTTTTTTTTGTTTTTTGTTTTTTTTTTGTTCTTTCATTTCTTTAGCTAATGTAGTGGCCGATACGACTCTACCAACACGAATTATACATTCAAGTCGGCAAGTTTTGTAACCGTGCGCATGAATTCTTGGGTGAGTGGCAGCAAAAAAAACGTAAACCATTAGCAGAAGAAATTGACGACTTGAATCCCCGTCGTGCGCGGGCAGGGGCCAGGTAAAAACCCGTGGAAACTTCAATTCAAGTCGCCGAGATTCCCTCGCCGAAGTGGGTAGGGGGGAAGAGAAAATTTGACATATCACGTCCAGGGCTTTGTTTTCGTTTCAGGCTACCCTGTAATTTCAAAGTAGTTATTCCCCCGAGTCTGACTGGAACACACTTGGAACTGGGGGACTTAGCCGAATCCTCCGGGTTGCGAAGGTACTACAGCGGCTTTGTCTCTGCGAGTGGGGGACTTCACCAATTTTTCGGGGTCGCTCGAGGGCTGTGGGAGGAATGCCTTAGGCAGTGGGGGACTTAGCCGAAATCTTGGGTTGCGGGGGGTATAGGAGGAATGACTCTCGGATTGGGGGGACTTAGCCGAAATCTACAGGTTGCCAAGGGGATAAAATATTTCAGGGGGGGATCGCATGTGTGATTGTGTAAGGGTGATTTTACACAACACTTTTCCGCATCAGGGTCCCTACACTCGACCACTTTGAAAAAACAGGGTCCCGTATAGATCTAGTTTTTTTCATAAGGGTCAAAAACTAAACCACTTTTAAAAATAAGGGTCCAACAGCTACCCCACCCTTATTATAAGGGCCGTAAGGGTATTTTACCCTGATATCCTGAGGCCTGCTGACGCGTCAATCGTCTGGGAAGCGATTTTGGCGGGACTTCTCTGGTTGTTCCCGTTTGGGAGCATTCCATTCGATTGCAATTTGTTCTAGCTACATGTTCATGTTCGTTTCAAAATTTTCCTTAAGAACGTTTTTAACGCACCGTGCCATATAAAAAAAATCCAATTAAACGCACCCCCAAAATTATGACTATAATCCCTATAAGCACCTAGGGGCGTATATCCGGGGGAATACGGTATGTGTGGAGTATTTTTGGTTACTTCAATAACATGGGATGGGACATTCTGTACCACCCTGAACATGTTGCTACATAGCAGAGCTGCTACATGACCACCACGGATGGACCAACACATCTCATAGCTAGACCACCAGCTGGAAACTGACAAACACATCTCATGGCTACAGCCTAGAGGTTCAAAATTAGATGCACCAGTGTCAGACATATTCGATAATTTATACACTACCAGACTAGCAAGCAAGTCACTGCACTTATTAGAGCCAGACAGCACGGCTGGTGGCGTCAGCATCCTAGTCATTGTGCAACATCCTAGTCATTGTGCCTCGCCGTTTATTAGGTGGCAGTAACCTGCAGGTTCAGCACCGCTGCCTACCATCATGGAGCACACTTGGGGAGCCTTCAAAACCGCACCTTGCTTCCATCCTGCCTGCTTCACTCTTAGTAGCCCACTGAATGGCATCGATGAAGACCTTGAAAACAAGTGCTATGCTCCGCACCGCAGTTATGCAACGCGGTGCCGCTTGAGACCCTCACCACCCACATCCTCCGCTCCACTGCCTCCTAACCCCGCCTCCTCCCGCTTCTCCTCCTGCGCCTCCCAGCTTCGCTTCGAGCCAGTCAAACCAGCACCAGCACCGCCACCCGGGCCAGGGGCAACGCTCTTTCCCTGCTTCCTTGCTGGTTCCGCCCTGCCCGTTTCGCCCAGCAGAGCCATGCAGAGAGCCTCAGCTATCAACTCCTGGTTCAAAATCGCCTGACGGTTCCCGCCACTGCCTGAACGAGCACCGCCAGAAGCACCACGCTGAATAGCAGCAGCAGACGCAGCACCAGCCCTGGTTTCCGCTGCAGCAGCAAAAGACGTAGACTTGTTGCCCCGTGGTGTTCCCTTCCCAGACGCGGACAGCACAGCTGACGTCAGCGAAGCGATGGCAGAGAGGTCCCAGCCCTTCGCAAGGACATCAGCAGCCAGAGCATCAGGAGTAGAGGGCGGTTGGCCGTCAGATTTATTACCTCCGGCAGCAGCAGAAGCAGCAGGAGTAGCAGCAAGATAGGACGCAGTAGGAGCAAAACCAGTAAGAGCAGACGCGAACGCGGTGCCACCGGAAGAAGCTCCTGCTGCTGATCGCTGCTGCACGGGTAGGAAAGCCGACGCTGCCTCTGAGGCAGCTGGCCTGTCGTTAGCGCCATCGCCGCCGCCGATCACGCTAAGAGGCGGAAGAGGCTTGGCTGGTGCAAAACCCGCTGCGCCGTTATTGAGGAACCGCTGAGCGGCGGACGAAGCGAGGGCCGTTTCGCTGTCGCGAGAGTCGACGTCAGGGGCTGACGGGCGGCCGTCAGTGCAGTCGGTTGCGTTTCCAGCGCCGTTACAACTTGCCGGGCGGGCGGCATGTCTAGCAGAAGCGGGAACCTTCTTGAACGCTTTGGACGGAGAGAATTTCAATGAGTTAGGGGAAGGAGGGCCCATGGGGGACGACGGCACAGCAGCAGGGGGTGCTGCGGAAGCAGGGCTAACACGCTTCGGCTGAGGTTGGTAAATCTTCGGAGCGTGCTGCTGCTTGTCAGCGGATTGGCTATTCTGTGGTTGCTGTTGCTGTTGCTGGACAAGAGCCTGGCGCATGGCCAGCAGGAGAACCTCCAGAGCGTCGTTTGAAACAGCAGCAGCAGCCTCTGATGAACCACCAGCTTTGCCTTTAATATTCATCCCAAAGGCGTTGCTCCTGCTGGCATCCTCTTTATTCGAAGCTTCCTGAAGAGAAGCCGCTGCAACCGGTACTTTTCCTGAGCTAATGTTAGTCCTCCGGTTAACTCGGGGATGCTCCAGAAGAGGAACAGGAGTCTCCGGAGGAGCGGAAGGCAGAGGAGCGGACGGAAGAGAACCCACGCCGTTCACGTCTTCCACAAGAATTGAGAAATGAAATCTGATGTGACCGAGAAGTTTCCCGTTACGTTGGTGTACCGGCCAGACGGCGTCCATGGATTGACGGAGGTAGACCTGCTCCAAGTGCACCTTGCAGAAACCCATGTACTTGTCCTGGCCGTTCACCTTGTCCCATATGTGAACGTCCATCTCCTGCAGGCGGGACGATAATTGATGGAGGGTTATACAGACATTTAAAACCGGGGAATAGTACGAAAAGAAAGAAAAAGAGCAGGGGAACTGAAAGGTGTGTAGTGTAGAAACCGCTATGGAGGATATTATTGCTCTCGCTCTGGAAGAAGCTCATGCTGTAAGTTCTGAAGTGTCGAAACTCACTGGAGGATAATCTTGCTCTCGCTCTGGAAGAAGGAAGTTGAAGCGGTGGTTCCATACTGCTCGACCTGCTGCACCGCACTCGACGTCGGTGCGGCGCTCGACTCCGTTATAGCAAAGAACTGCGTACGGGTCGATCTTATTCACCGTTTTATTCTCCTTTAAACTCGCCGTTGAACCTATCGTAACTTCTAGACACTTCGCAACCATGGCGAACAGCAAATAACCCTAGCTCTGAAAATGTACAAACTTCAGCCCAATCGCTCTCTCCTAAGTCGGATGAAGGTCTAAGACACTAACATGCAATAGCAGAGCTCAGTGTTACTCCAGAAAGCACAAAACATGGATTTCACGGAAAAAATCAGGTGAAAGTGCTGGAGGAATACGTGTAGAAACAGTGTTTCTGTTGGGTGTCAGGGAAGAGAATGAGGAACTAGCTCTCTGACAGCCAGAAACCAGCCGAAACTGTACTTGCATGAACCTGTGTGGCTGGAGGAGACGAGGGTTCCGTCAACTCCACCGTTGACGAGCTGCCTGTTGGAACAGCTCGATTTCTGACGGACGGGAAAAACCTTCCCAGAACGCGTCTGAGACAAGCATCTGCCAACACAGCAGGGACGGGAAACTGAGTCAGCCTACTTAGAGTTGATTCCGCACCTCGGGTCTACCCAAGTCTGACCCGCAGCCAAAGGAGCCGCGGGGTTTGCAGACCCAACTTTGGGTCTTGTGATTCTGACGGTCACGCGAAAGTGGTAACGAAAGCGAAATCTAACTGTGAATGTATGGCATTGGGAGTCGGAGACTGGCGAACGAGTGTCGGATAAGGTTTCGTGCCACTCGTCTGCTGCTAATTTTGTCAGCTAGATGTGAGTTTCCAGTCAAACAGCCGTCAGGCTCGGGAAGACCCGAGGCAATTTTTTCCCACGTCGGGTGTTCCCGTATTACACTAGTGTCAGACACTAGCTCCAGAATTTATTATGATCGAGCCGACCACCGCCGTCAGATATAGACGGGAAGTGGCTCTAGCAAACGGTGGGCAAGGGGTCCGCTGTGCGGTGCGGGATTGTTGGAATTATTGGTTGGCTTCTGGACGGGAAATTCGTCTGAGCGGGGATCTGCGCGTCGTGAGTCGCCAGAGTGCCAAGGAAACCCCGTGTGGTGATCTTTGATCAGGTTGACTGCCAGGCTTATGGCTCATCGCCTCACATGGTAGCATATGGCGAAGCGCTGGCTTTGGCGCGCAATGCGGCACGAGGTTTACCCCCGGAGATGCTCAATACGGCGGACAGATCGACGGTCGGTGTCATGAATTAATGAGAGTAATATCAGGTAGTGTAATAAAGGAGTCGTGATTCAAGAGTGTCGATACAAATGAGGGCTTAGGCATTTATAGGCACGAACATAGCTAGCCGAGAACCACGCGAACAGGTTGGGGCGATTCGGTTGGTGAAAGCCACGGAAGCGCTGCGCATCGAGGTTTGGGTTCGCGAAGTGGTTCGGGACCGAAGAAGTTGGCCGAGCCTGGACTTCCGAAAGTCGAGGGCGTACGCGCTGTAGTCGAGCCGAAAAAGGAAAAGGGAATTTCCTTACACCACCCCCCCCTTCCGGGATGAGACTACCCACATCCGGGACACGTCGTTGGTGTAAATAGTCCCGGACGACGTTGTGTTCGCCGAGCATAGCTGCGGGGACCCAAAGATCGTCGCCGGTCGTGCGATCGACCCATCGTACAAGAAAATCAACGGGTGCCGTATCACGATGACCTCGTACGCGATGAGCGAGAATCTTCGATGGCTCGATCGTCGGCTCAGGTACTGGGTTGACCGTAGGATTGATGCGTTGACGTTCGATATTAGTTGTACTCGGGACGAATGGTCGCAGGAGACTGACGTGGAACGAGTCATGAATTCGCGAGTCGACCGGCAGTTGCAGCTGGGCGGTGACGGGTGTCACCATGCGGAGGATGCGAAATGGGCCGCAAAATCTTGGTCGTAGTTTATTTGGGAGGGGAATCCCCAAATTTCTTGTGTCGAGCAGGACCAATTGCCCAGGGGCAAGAGTTAACTCTCAGCGTCGTCGGTCAGCTTGCTCCTTAGCCCGTTGGTTTGCTTTTAGGATGGCATCGGCGGCTTGTTGCTGGGATTGTCAGAGATTTTCGACGAACTGCTGCGACCTTGGTGCCGGATTTTCTATCGGTGGCGATAGAGGGGTTGTCGAGTCTATCCCGTAATTAAGGAAGAACGGGGACTGAGTAGTCGTGGTTGATGGGGCGTTGTTGTACGCAAACTCGATCAAGGGAAGGGAGTCTTCCCATTGGGCCGAGTCTGTGCACGTTGTGCGAATCAGCTGCTCGATCGTCTGATTTGTACGTTCAGTCTGGCCGTCCGATTGTGGGTGGTACGTCGTGGACAGATGCAAACGTGTGCCGTACTGCTGCCAGGTTTTTGTCCAGAAGTTGGACGTGAACCGTGGGTCGCGATCGCTGACGATTACCGAAGGAATACCGTGTAGCCGCACGATGTTCGTGAGGAACGGTTTCGCTGTCTGCTCGGCAGTGATTGTCGTCTTGGAGGCGGCGAAGTGGGCCATCTTGGTCAACCGGTCAACAACGACGAGAATCGCGTCGTTACCGCTTGAACCAGCGGGCAGGCCAGTGACGAAATCCATTGTCACTTGTTGCCAGGGTCGGCTGGGTGGCTCGAGTGGCTGCAGTAATCTGGCAGGTCAAAGCCGTGACGACTTCATGCGTTGACACGTGGCGCATGAGGTGACGTACTGCTGCACGTCTGTCGGCAAGTCCGGCCAATAATAATCACGGCTCAGTAATTTGGCAGTTTTGTCGATGCCGTAGTGACCCGAGAAATTCGAGTCGCATGCCTCCTGTATCAGTAGCTCGCGTAGGGTACGGTAGGCGGGAACCCAAATCCGATTGGTACCAGATTTTAGGTGATAGGCCCCTTGCTTGACCGTTAGTTGGGGATGACTGTTAGTGGTGAAGAAGGGATCGGTACTGTATCCGTGGGTGAATAGGCCAGTTAGCAGCGGATTAGCTTGGGTAATTAGGACTGCGGCGATGTGGACTGAAGGGCGGGTCAGTGCGTCGGCGATGTTGCTAACCCCCCGTTTGTAGGTGACTCTGTAGTGGAAGTTCGACTCGAGGTAATCGAGCCAGCGAATCTGTCGAGGATTTAGTGTCGGTTGGGCAGGGATGAACTGTAACGATTTATGGTCTGTTCAAACTGTCACGTCAGCGCCCGTCAGGTAGCAGCGCCAGACCTTGAAAGCGTGCACGATGGCGAGTAACTCCTTTTCGTGGACAGGATGATCTCGCTCGGCCGGATTCAGCTTTCGAAACTCATAGGCGATGGGTTGAAGTCCTTCGCCGAAGTCTTGTAACAGTACTGTGCCAACAGCCAGGTCGCTAGCGTCGGTGATGAGCTCGAACGGACGATGAGGATCTGCAATTCGAAGAACTGGAGGTGTAGTCAGGAAAAGTTTGAGCTGTTCGAACGCAGCTCTCCCCCCACTCATAAAACTTGCCTGCTGCTCTCCCCCCCACTCATAAAACTTGCCTTTCTTCCGGAGATCCGTGAGAGGGGAAGTTACCCCCGCCATGTTCGGAATGTACCGGCGAACGTAATTCACAAACCCCAGGAAACTTTGAAGTTCGCGGAGATTAGTTGGCGGCGTCCAGTCTTGTATGGTCGCGATCTTCTTAGGGTCGATTTTAACTCCATCCACGGAAATAACGTGTTCCAAAAACTCCAGTTCTTGTTTCAGAAACTTGCACTTAGATCCCTTGGTGAGGAGTCAGTGCTGCTGCAGGATAGAGAAGACTGCTTCCAAATCCTTCAAATGTTGTTCTCGGATAGTACTGAAGATTAGGAAATCGTCGAGGTACACGATGACGCATTTATCCAGCAGCGGCCGAAAACTTCGTTCATTGTTAACTGGAACATCAAAGGCGCATTTGTTAAGCCAAAAGGCATAACCGTGTACTCATAACTCCCGTACCGGGTTCGGAACGCTGTCTTAAAGCAGTCAACTTCGTGCACGCGGATTTGATGGTAACCGCCTCGCAGGTCAATTTTCGAAAAGAACTTGGCTCCACGAAGTTGGTCGATGAGTTCGTCGGCACGTGGGATAGGATAGCGGGACTTGATGGTAACTCGATTCAAGGCGCGGTAGTCGATGCACATTCGTAGACCGCCATCTTTCTTCGGGGTGAACAGGATCGGAGCTGCGAACGGTGAAGTGCTGGGGCGAACGAAACCTTTCTCGACTAGGTAGTCCAGCTGGTGTCGAAGTTCATCGAGCTCTGGCTCAGTCAGCCTCCATTGAGTCCGAATAGTCGGTTGCGCACTCGGCTCCAACTCGATTGTGTGGTCGTGGTCTCGCTCCGGGGGCAAACCCGCCGGTAGGTCGTCTGGAAAAATGTCGGTGTGCTTGCGAATCAATGTTGCCAAATCGTTCGGAACAGCTGTGCAGAGTTTGTCGATGTCGGCTGGTGCGTCGACAGCCGTGGATGCGATCCATCGGACGGCGTACATTTGTGCCCCGTAAATCATAGCTCACTTGATGGTAACCGCGCTGACCGTCGATGTCGCGGAATCTTGACTGCTCCACTTCGGAAGTCGTCGCCACTCGCCACTCCATTTGATGCGACAGTCACCCGTCCGCTAGTCAATGCTCGGGTTGTATTCGCGCAGCTAATCCCGTCCCAACAGCATATCGCAGCCGTCCAACGTTGTCGCCGGCATCTTCGTCGTGAAGCTGAAAATTTTGCCGCGTGTAACTATTACGTGAGGTACTCGCTCCTGAATTGCCAGTGGTGTGCCGTCGACCTATCTCGCGTCGATTTCCGGCATGCAGCGCTCCAGTTGAAGCCGCGGTTTTTTTGCCTTCGTCACATCCATCAAACTGTGGCTCGCCCCGCCATCAACGAATATTTTTATGCGAGTGGCGCCAACTCTCCCTTCGACCAGCATAGGGTGATCAACCGGTTCACCCCCATTATTCAGCCAGGAATGGTCGATAGCCCAAATCGGCACTATAACCTGATGGGGGTGGTGGCGTTTGGGCGACGCAGTCAAGTCAGTAGGTGGCCCATCTGCTACTGACGATCTCCATTTCTCGACTGCTTCTTATCGTTAGGTAAGTTCTTCTTCAGCTGCGGGCAATCCCTCACCATGTGACCCGGCTGGTTGCAGTGGTAGCAGTTCCCCAAAAATACTCGGGCTGCAAACACGTCCACGCCGTTGATTGATGTGTATTGGGGCTGGCCTCGAAAGCGATTTCCCTCCCGGAAACCCGCTCTCGTGAGTCCACGTCGTGCGTCCAACGCGTCTGCTATGCGAAAGATCTCGTTGAAGGTCATCGGGGCTCGCAGGACGATTTCTTGCTGAATCTCTGGCTTGAGTCCGCCCACGTAGCGATCAATTTTTTCGTCCTCGCTGATCCCTCCGATTGGGTTGCAGATTGCCAGAAACGACGCCGTGTATTCTTGGACAGAGCCCAACTGTCTTCACATCCGAAGCTTTGTGCGAGCATTTTCGCGCATGGATATGTGCTCGAATCTGCCCTTCAACGCCTCGCCCCACGCTTTCCACGTGCGGATCGTGGCCGATCCAAATATTGGTTCTGCCTTCGCCGTTGATGAACTCATCTCCCAATCTGCCGCCCGTTGATTCCCTGCTGGAGCTCCTCCCTCGTTGAGATGCATGCGCCACCAGTCGAGTGCCGATCCCCTCAGCAGCGACACAGCCAAGTTGACACGTGAGGCATTGTCATTAATACCTACTGCCGTGAAGAAGATTTCCATGGTGAACATCCACCCACTCACTGTCGTTGTCCTGTCGGTCGGGTTGAACGGTGGGGGCATCGGAGGCTTGATTTTAATGGCTGCCTGCGGCTCGCTGTGGAATTCTTCAACTGCTTCAGGTGTCGCCGACGCCCTCGCTTCGCTCGCAGCATCTTCGTCTCGGGTAATAAGCCGCCCCTGACGCGTTTCACCCCGCGTCTGACGAAGCGACGAGTTTTCGTTGCGCAGCGTCTGAACTTCGCTTTACAACGACTCGAACTTATCCGTGAGTTGTTGAAGCTGGGCCTACAGTGTCGTCACTGTAGCCGCCCTGGCTTGCAACTCGTCAAACTCCTCCTGAGTCACATTCCTAACACTACAATGGGCAGAGGTTTCCGGCGTGCTAGTCATGCTGGAAATTTTACCTGACAGATCTGAGGGTGCACACACGTTTAGTTGGAGCAGCTTTAACGAGCTCACCTACCAGCCGCTGGCCAACCCTCTATTCTGTTGGGTCCTCTCCCGATATAATCGGACTACTCTACGGAAGACTAAGCGGGCAGGAACGGGGCTCTGATACCAGCTGTTATAAATTAATCAGAGTAATATCAGGTAGTGTAATAAAGGAGTCGTGATTCAAGAGTGTCGATACAAATGAGGGCCTAGGCATTTATAGGCACGAACAGAGCTAGCCGAGAACCACGCGAACAGGTTGGGGCGATTTGGTTGGCGAAAGCCACGGAAGCGCTGCGCATCGAGGTTTGGGTTCGCGAAGTGGTTCGGGACCGAAGAAGTTGGCCGAGCCTGGGCTTCTTAGAGTTGAGGGCGTACGTGCTGTAGCCGAGCCCAGTAAGGAAAAGGGAATTTCCTTACAGTCGGTGAGCCCTATAACCTATGGATAAGGGGGAATGATTGAAGGCCGGCTCTGTTCGGTTCCGCTGGGGTCAATCACCTCAACCCATACTAGTGATACAAAGACAATTCTATGTGAGGGCGTATTCCTACAAAGTTGTATCAGAATCAATAATGTTGTTGAACCTGCCGTTTTACAACCAGCAAAATCAACAATTTTGTTAAGCGCTCACCTGCGAGTGTCGCACACGAGCCCAGGGGACAGTTGTCAAACATATTTGTAGATGTTATAATAGGCTAGATAGGTGCATGCTCTTGGAGGGTACAAACATTTGAACAAAACCAACATGTATGCCTCATTCTAGTCAACATTTTTACTCTGAGATGGTATCACGCGCTAGGTTAGGTCCTCCCCGCCCACCCACGCTTCCGCTCTAGTCCTAGCCCTAGCCGCCAGGGCTGATTTTATCAGACTATTTTAGTCTGATTGTCTGAAATTTCAGACCCATTTTTCTGCCACTCCTGATTTTTCAGACTTAGGCTTTTCTGGATACTGAACTGAACCCTTCAGAGTTGTATGATTTTGGATCTTGAAGTTTTCAGAGTAGTCGTTGTGCGAATGCTGAGTTTTCAGACTACATCGCGTATGGACTCTGAATGCGACATACATGCACGTTGTACTTTCCATGAGATTTCCTCCACTACATCATATGCTGCCTGCCATCATTTCACCCCCGCACGTCTCACGTGAAGTATATGCACTTGGCAGGATTCCCGCCCCTTGTGTGAGTGTGATGCTGCCCTCAATAGGGACTTAGCCGCTCAGTGCTTCATGCATCGTGCCACGCGTGCCTGCTAAGGACCTCAACGTGGGTGTGTTGGAAGCCAGCAAAGGCTGGTAATGCGAGAAACTTGCCCTCGCTGGCATGTGCAAAATTGTCCGACCGACAGTGATTGGCCACAGTCTATGCCAACACATGGTTCGAAATGTCAGCTCATGTTTGGCATGGCGGCGTGGGTTTGGAAGGGGTTGTCGTCCAAAAGCTAACGAGGGTTAACCAAGAAACACGCTCCTCGGGCTTGATGGTGCCCTTCTTCTTCGTCCCTCTCATCTCTCCCTCTCCTCTCATGCGCACTTAGGCATCTAGACGGGGTTTGTAAAGCTTCCTCCTCAATCTGTGTTTCGGAGTTGTCCTCCTCACGTAGGTTCTTGTTTGTCGACCCCGTCAACAGCCATGACGAGCACTCATGCAGAAGAGGACGATCAGCCCAGCGCCAATGAACAACCTCATAGTAACGAGCCTGCAGAGGTTCCTCGCTGCGCGTTAGACATACTGCGCTCGTTAGGTTCTCCTCCCATCGTAGCTGTTGTGGTTCCCTCTGCAGTGGAGGAAACCCAGCCTGCTCTAAACCCACCTCCGTTCGCGCCCCTCACGCCACCACCATATGTCCCTCCGCCAGCCGTCGCCTCATCCAGCAGAGGCCTGACTCTGCCCGTTAACTACGTCACCGCCACCACAGTACGCTACAGCGTGCCCTGCGCGTCCACGATTTTGTCTGCGAAGAAGCAACGGACGGGCAAGTACACCCAATCCCAAATCCTGATCGGAGGTAGGCTCCGCCGCCCGTCCGCGCCGCCATCACCTAGTGCAGTCCCTGTCGTTGATGAACCGCCACCGCCAAAGCTGAGTAAGAAGGAATTGATTGAGCAGAAATACCTCGTCGCTGAAGCGAAGTACAAAACTTCATGGATGCCTTTCTTTCCTTGGCTACTGCTAACCAAAACAAAAGACGGCTACCCTGCTCTCAAGTGCAATGTCTGCATAAGGTATGGCAAGGAGACCACCAAGTACAGCTCTTCGGGCGATGGTGGTCGAGATCTGCAGACACAGACCATGCGCATACACGAACACTACTCTGCACACAAGGAAGCTATGGAGGCCCAACTGAAGATTGCCGAGGACATCGTCGATGGGCAGAAGAGGATTGACGACTACTTGTCGTCGGATGTCAAGGGGAGGCGGGTCGTGTGACTGCTCCGCGCGGTTGAGTTTCTCTGTAAGGTCGATGCTCCCATCAGCATGTTTCCTCGGCTATGTCGCTTTATGGCTGAGCAGGACACCCCGGACCTACCGCTCCAGTCTTATGGTGTTTACCTCACTCGGTAAGTACCCGCGAGTACAGTCCATTTCTCCGCCCTGTTGGAACCTTGTAACAATTAATCCTCTTCTGCGTGCAGGTACGGCTTTCAACCGATGGTCCAATGCTTGGCAACTCTTCTTCAATGGACCCAGATGCAGCACATTCAGTCGTCCGTGTTCATCGGCATCAGTTTGACGAGAGCACTGATCGTACCAGAGGGAAGCACCTGATAGTGTACCTCACGTTCCTGCGCCATTGCCGCGTCGTCAACGAATTCTTCTCGTTGCTGACTGTCAAGAAGTGCGACGCCGCCTCCCTGCTCTCCGTGCTCCTCACTCATCTTCAAGGCGCCGGCATCGAACTCAACCGCATCGCGGGAATCAGCACCGATGGCGCTTCCGTCATGGTGGGGTGCGAGAGCGGTCTCGTGGCGTGGCTCCGCGAGCACATCCCTCACCTTGTGTCCTCCCACTCCATCACCCACCGGTATAGAGTCATTATGCAATGTTCTCGCTTCTTTGTTTTTTATTGTTTACTAATTTGTTTCTATAGACTGTGCGCAAGGAAGCTTTGGTTGTGAAGGACGCCGCGTCTGCCTGACCCAGACTTGGACATGGTCGACAAGGTTATCCGAACTCTGGCCGATCTCCTCGGCCGTTCAAGTGTGTGGA